TCACTCCTGCCAGGCTGGGGGGTGGAAGGCAGCACCCTGCTGCTGAACTGCTGGCTAATTTTGGTTGCCACTTAACAGGTAGGTTGCTAATTGTCACATAATCTGTGTCATGGGCTCTCAGGAGGGCTGCAAGGCTCTCAGTGGATGTCCCAGTCCTGCACCATGTACCCCAATGCTTTTGGCTCTGCTGTGGGTGCCATTGGCTGGCACAAGCTGTCCTCAGAGCTGTCCCCATGACCAGGTGTGGAGCAGGTTGGCTGGCAGGTGAGGGAGCAGCTCCATCGTTCACAGGTTTGACCCTGGCAGCATCACAGCCAGTTCTTCTGGACCTGTGAGCAGACAGCATGTGGCCAGGAGCTTTTTTGGTAGTGGTAGGGACAAGAAGTGCCAGAACACACTCAAATGGTGACTTTATGGCCACTACAGTTGCTCATCTCTGTTGGAGACCGTGGGAAGCTCAGGGTGGCAATAGCACTGTGAGCTCTGCAGCATTACCAGCTGGGGTGGATTTGGAACAGGGCCAAGGAGAAACCTGGGCTGGTGCTGTAGGGGATTGTCAGGTTTGGCTGGAAAGCTGCTGCAGGAAAGGACCTGGGGGATGCTGGGCAGTGGTGCCTGACCATGAGCCCACGTGTGCCCAGGGGGCCAAGAAGGCCAATGGCACTTGGGTTGTACCAGCCACAGGAGCAGGGCACTGCCCATCCCTCTGAGCTGGGCACTGCTGAGGCACCTCCAGTCCTGAGGAACCCTCACAAGAAGGACATTGAGGGGCTGGAGCATGTCCAGAGAAGGGAGTGGAGCTGGGGAAGGGTCTGGAGTTCCAGGAGCAGCTGGGAAAGGGGCTCAGCCTGGAGAAAAGGAGGCTCAGGGGGGACCTTGTGGCTGTGCACAACTCCTGACAAGAGATAGCTGGGGGGATGTTGAGCTCTGCTCCCAGGGAACAGGGACAGGAGGAGAGGGAATGGCCTCAAGTTGTCCTGGGGAGGTTTAGGTTGGATATGAGGAAAAATTTCCTCCTTGATAGGGTGGTGAGGCACAGACTGCCCAGGGCAGTGGTGGAGATGCCATCCCTGAGGGTGTTTGAAATATGTCTGGGTGTGGCACTTGAGGACATGGTTCATGGTGAACATGGCAGTGCTGGGGAATGGTTGGGCTTAGAGGGAGTTTTCAACCCAAACAATTCCATGATTCTACCTTTGGAGGTGTCATGGTGCCTGGGCATGGCTTGGAACTACACATGAACACCTCCCTGCCCCAGCCAGGGTCTCACATTGCCCAGTTCCCAGCCTGGTGGCATTGCTGAGAGGGCAGGGGTGCAGCACTGGTGCAGGAGCTGGGGCAGTTGGACACTGGGGAGCAGCAGGAGCTGCACTGGCCTGGAGAAACCCTCTGAGATGTTTTTTGGTGGCTGCATGAGGCTCCCATGGTGCTTTGTGATGTCTCTGTGCTTTCCCATGTGAGTTTTGGCAGCTGGTGCCCGTCCTTGCCCTGTTGCTGCCCTCATCCACTCTCATTGCAGAGTCTGTAGTGTTTATCCACCGGCTGGCAGCAGCTCCCAGGGACATCCCTGGGTGAGGCTTGGCCAATTGCCTGAGGAGCAGGGTCTCCCTGGGGCATTCCTGCATCTCCAGTGTCCCTCTGGTGCTGGGGACACGGGACAGGGTGGCATGGGGGAGCACACTGGGGACTGCCCCGTGGGTCCTCCCCAGCCCCACAGGTCCTGGGGAGAGCCAGGGTGAGGGATGGGTCTCTGGGGTGCTTGGAGCTGGCTGGACAATGATGTTTGGGGAGTAGGAGTGGGGCAGATGTTGGTGTATGGGCACTGGAACAGCCCAGCATGGCCAGGCTCAAAGTGAGTTCTTAAATCCCCTGTGGAAAATTCATGTGTGCACAGCCCTCTAGTGCTGCTGCTCATGCTGGTGCAAACCCCCCTTGCAGGTATTTAGCCCCCTGGGGGGAGTGGAGAGACAAAGAAATGTTCTGCTGAAATCCTGCTCTCGTTTTTCCTGAGAGGGAAGAAAATTCCCAATGGTGCTGTGGCTCCAGTTGGTTCCTCTGCCCAATCCCTGGGGCTGCAGCTGCTGTTCATGTCTAGGGCGGGGATGAGGGAAGCACATCATCTTGCTCCAAAAGTAATTAAAGTCAGGGATAATTTTTTCTGGAGGAGGGTGGAACCCTGGGAAGGCGACAGGAACGAGTCTGGGACTGAGCACATCAGAAGCTGCTTTTTATTGTGGCTGCTGAGCTAAATATATCCACAGAGGCACAGAGCAGTTCCCACGTGTCTGCTGCTGTGTGGGGTGAGGGGTGCAGGGTGCTGGCACTGCCTGTACCCCCAAACACAGCCCAGGGCCCTCCTGGGTGGCTGAGGATCAGACACTCATGCACAGAGCTGTGCCAGGGCAGGTTTGGGTTGGATCTCAGGAAAGGTTCTTCCCCAGAGGGTGCTGGCACTGCCTGCCCTGCCAGGGGCACCCTGTGCCCCCAAACACGGCCCAGGGCCTTGCTCCTGGGTGGGTGAGGATCAGACACTCATGCACAAACCTGTGCCAGGGTTTGGGTTGGATCTCAGGAAAGGTTCTTCCCCCAGAAGGTGCTGGGCACTGCCTGCCCTGCCAGGGACCCCTGTGCCCCCAACACAGCCCAGGGCCCTCCTGGGTGGGCGAGGATCAGACACTCATGCACAGAGCTGTACCAGGGCAGGTTTGGGTTGGATCTCAGGAAAGGTTCTTCCCCTAGAGGGTGCTGGCACTGCCCAGGCTCCCCAGGGAATGGGCACAGCCCCGAGGCTGCCAGGGCTCCAGGAGTGTTTGGGCAGCGCTGCCAGGGATGCCCAGGGTGGGATTTGGGGGTGTCTGTGCAGGGCAGGGGTTGGACTGGATGGTCCTGGTGGGTCCCTGCCAGCCCAGGAGATTCCTGATTCTGAGTCCCAGTGGCTGCTCAGGCCTGGATGTGGCTTGCCAGGGATGTGGTTTGAAGGAATTAATAGCTGAGTTTATGGAGCACCCGGGGACTGGAGCTGTGCAGTCATTAGCACTAATGAGAGCTATCGGCACGGCCTTGGCTCCAAACCCCTGCTCCACGAGTCCCCTGGGAGCCCCCAGCTTCCTGCAGCCCCTGTGCCTCACCACGGGCAGAGCTGTGCAGGTCCTGCAGAGGGACAGCAGTGTCTGTGAGTCCTGCAGTGGGGCAGCAGTGTCTGTGAGTCCTGCAGAGGGGCAGCAGTGTCTGTGAGTCCTGCAGAGGGGCAGCAGTGTCTGTGAGTCCTGCAGAGGGACAGCAGTGTCTGTGAGTCCTGCACAGGGGCAGCAGTGTCTGTGAGTCCTGCAGTGGGGCAGCAGTGTCTGTGAGTCCTGCAGAGGGGCAGCAGTGTCTGTGAGTCCTGCAGTGGGGCAGCAGTGTCTGTGAGTCCTGCAGAGGGGCAGTGTCTGTGAGTCCTGCACAGGGGCAGCAGTGTCTGTGAGTCCTGCACAGGGGCAGCAGTGTCTGTGAGTCCTGCACAGGGGCAGTGTCTGTGCACAGGGGCAGTGTCTGTCAGTCCTGCAGAGGGGCAGTGTCTGTCAGTCCTGCACAGGGGCAGTGTCTGTCAGTCCTGCAGAGGGGCAGTGTCTGTGCACAGGGGCAGTGTCTGTGAGTCCTGCACAGGGGCAGTGTCTGTGCACAGGGGCAGTGTCTGTCAGTCCTGCAGAGGGGCAGTGTCTGTGCACAGGGGCAGTGTCTGTGCAGGTCCAGCTCTGCTCCCACGTTCCCAGGCAGGGGTTGGGTGCAGTGGGTGGGATGGGATGGGTGGGTCAGGCTCTGCCCAAGCCAGGAGCCAGCTCAGCCTCACCTGCCTCAGTCCCATTTGTAAGTCCAAGGCTGGGGACAGCTTTTGGGCTGGGTGGTGCTTTGCTTCAAACGGTGAGGACTGTATTGTCTTGTCGTGGTTTTGCATTTTGCATTTCAATCCTTTGTAGCTGGGGTTTGATGTGTCTGTGTTGGAGCGAACGGGGCTGTGCTGCCCTGACTCTGCCAGGCTGGGGCTGATCCGGTGCCACAGCCTCTGTCTGTGCCCAGCCCTGCCAGGGGCAGTGGGGTGGGTGAGCCAGGGCAGCTGTGAGGGGCTGGTGGGCTGGGGGCAGTTCTAGGTGCAGGCTCTGTGTGCCCAGCCCTGCCTGTCACCATTCGTGGAGGTGCCTGGTGGTGTTTCTGGATGTGGCACCTCCTGGAGGTGCCTGGTGGTGTTTCTGGATGTGTCACCCCCTGTTCTCAGCTGCAAACAGGTCAGGGTTATGGCTGGCTGCAGGAGCTGGAGCATCCCCTGCTCTGTATGCTCTGTGCTTCAGGCAGAGCTGCTGTCTATACCCTGCCTGCATGAGCCACGTTTCCAGCAGGTGTTGTAGGGTGTCCTGAGCTCAAAGGGACCCACAGGGTTCACTGACTCCAGCTCCTGGTGCTGTGCAGGACACCCCAACAATCCCACCCTGGGCATCTCTGACAGTGCTGTCCAAACACTCCTGGAGCTCTGGCAGCCTCTGGGCCATGCCCAGCACCTCTGTGGGAAGAACCTTTTTCTAATACCCAGTCCTGTCACAGCTCCAGCAGTTGCATTGGGTCCTGTCACTGTCACAGAGAGCAGAGATCAGAGCTGCTCCTTGTCAGGAAGCTGCAAACCTCAATAGGTCTGACCCCTGGCTGCTTTTGTCCAGTCTGAACAAGCCAAGTGACCTCAACTGCTTCTCAAATGGCTCCTCAAGGCCCTTCACCATTCTTATGTCCCCCCCTCTGGACACTCCCTGATACCTTTCTGTCCTTCTTACACTGTGGTGCCCCAAACTGCTCAGCACTCAAGGTGAGGCTGCAGCAGTGCAGGGCAGTGTGGAGCAGTTCTTTTCCCCCTGTTGTGCTGGACTGGGCACACTCTGGGACATGGCTCACAGGATGGGCTGTGCTCTCCTCCTCAGGGCCACACTGGTGTCCCCCAGGCCTGTGCTGCCCTCACCCTGCTTCTCTTCCCATAGGATCCGTCCTCAGCTGCCCAAAGAGAAGATAGAGGGATGTCACATCTGTACCTCAGTGACACCTGGCGAGCCCCAGGTGCTGCTGGGCAAGGACAAGGCCTTCACCTATGACTTTGTCTTTGACCTGGACACGTGGCAGGAGAGGATCTACACGACGTGCATGGGGAAGCTCATCGAGGGCTGCTTTGAGGGCTACAATGCCACTGTGCTGGCCTATGGGCAGGTATGGGCTCTGCCTTAATGTGGGCTCTCCAGGGGGGCTGGACAGGGCACCTGAGAAGGCTGAGGAAGGTGGAGGGTGTGGAGTATTGATATATTACCAATATAGCCAGACAGGATGTGCCTGAGCTTGTCTGGCCCTGCTGCTGAACCAAATAGTGGCAACTGTGGTGTTTGACCCCACAGACACTTTTGGCTGGCTGGGTGTGTGGTGTTTCACCCCACAGACACTTTTGGCTGGCTGGGTGTGTGGTGTTTCACCCCACAGACACTTTTGGCTGCCTGGGTGTGTGGTGTTTCACCCCACAGACACTTTTGGCTGGCTGGGTGTGTGGTGTTTGACCCCACAGACACTTTTGGCTCCTGGGTGTGTGGTGTTTCACCCCACAGACACTTTTGGCTGCCTGGGTGTGTGGTGTTTCACCCCACAGACACTTTTGGCTGCCTGGGTGTGTGGTGTTTCACCCCACAGACACTTTTGCCTGGCTGGGTGTGTGGTGTTTCACCCCACAGACACTTTTGGCTGCCTGGGTGCTGCAGCTGGGCCCTGCAGACAAGTCCAGGCCTGCAGGAGCTCTGGTGGTGCTGGGATGGAGCTTCCCCCCATAACAGGGGCTGCTCCTCAGGTTTATCTCTGGTGGAGAAGCTTTAAGGGGATGGTGAAGGAAAGGAGTCGGTTCTGATGGAGGGTTTGGATCCAGAGCTTTATTCTGGCCCTCAGGCCTCTGAATGCAGCACCAGCTCCCACAGAACTCCCTGAGCCCGTGGCTGCTGCTCCTTTGAACCCTGGGGAGAGGGGCAGGGAAGGGGCAGGGAGCCACCAAGCAGGGACAGGAGGGGAGGGACAAAGGGACAAAGGACACCTGGATGGCCCAATGCCCCCCAGGGGTAGAGGGCATCCTTTGGATCTGCCAATCACTCGATGCCCTTCTGGAATGCCAGGATTGACAGACAGTGCTGAGAGGGGAAGGAGAGGTGACTGACACACCTGGGAGGGAATTATCAGGGGAGGGACCCGGGGTTCTGAGGTAAACCCTGAAATCACAATGTAACAGTGGAGGATCTCACCCAGGTGAGGATCTCACCCGGGAACCTGCAATCCTGGGGTGACCCAGCACTCTGCACTGGGATGTGGGTGCAACAGTGACACTGAATGGTGGCAGCAGGGAGGACACATGAGCAGGGGTGTCCCTCCAGCCCAGGCTGAGAGGGGCTGCAGAGTTAGGATATGGATGGAGTCAGCTCCAGAGCAGCAGGGCTCTCCTGCTTGTTCAGCCTCTGAAAGTGACGTGGAAATTAGGAAAAGTGAAGTTACTGAGGTAATAGTGGATGATGAGACAGAACTTATATTTGTACCCTGTAAGGAGGTGAGGTCCTGTCCTGGGTGTGGAGAGAACAGAGTTGTCCCTGGTTGGGTGAGAGCTGGGAGCAGGGATGGCCTTGGGTGGGAGGAGGGGGTGGCAGGGCTGGCAGTGTGGGGCTGATGTGTCACTGGGGGTCACAGTGGCTCAGCAAGGGTGTTTGGGGAGCCTGAAGTAGCAGAGGGAGAATATGGGGTGTACTGGGCAGAGCTGAGCCTGGGAGGGCCCAGCCAGCTCCTGTCCCTGTCTCTGCACAGACTGGAGCAGGGAAGACCTACACCATGGGCACTGGCTTCGACATGAGCATCTCAGAGGAGGAGCAGGGCATCATCCCCCGCGCCATCAGCCACCTCTTCAGCGGCATCGAGGAGCGGCGGCGGGCGGCGCAGAGCCAGGGCCTGGCAGCGCCCGAGTTCAAAGTCAGCGCCCAGTTCCTGGAGGTGAGTGGGTAATGGCAGGTCTGGGGTAATAACCTCTCATTTGGAGTTATTATAAAACAGAGCACTAGGGCTCAGGAGCTCAGTCCCTGGGTAGGGACTGGGTGCCCGAGGCTCGCTCATGTCAAGGCCGTGGGGCTGCCATCTAGCAAGCATGGTGATTATCAGCTTATTAAATATTAAACCCCGAATGTTTCGGGGTGTGTCCTGCCTGGCTTCGTCTGGCCTCGCTGCTGGACCAAAGGCGGCAGCTGTGGCGTTTTTCACCCCAGAGATGCCTTTGGCTGGCTGGGTGCTGCAGCTGGGCGCTCAGAACAAGTCCAGGCAAAATAGGAACTCAGTTTACCTTTGGAGGAAAAGGTTCAGACGGTGAAGAGAAAAGGAGCGGGTTCTGCCGTGTAGCTTAGATCCAGAGTTTATTGTAGCATGGTAGATTTCTGAGTCTGGCAACAGCTCCAGACCGACAGACAGAGACAGGACCACGGCAGAGGCCCCGACCCCATGGTCTCGTGTCCTTTTTAAGCCCCAGGGACAGGGGGAGGGGAGGGACAGGTGAGGGCCAACCAGGTGTGAGCAGGGGAAGGCTCAGGGGATGTGGACGCTGGGACAAACCAATGAGCCCAGGCCTGGGGGGTCTGCCAGTCACTCAACACCTTGCTGGAAGGTGCCAGGCAGGAGGGCAAAAGGGGAGGGTGAAAGGTTGGCATCCTTGAGGGGGTTGGGATAGGCGGGACAGGAAATGGTGACACACTGCAACATCAGCTCTATAGTGATTGCAAGCTCTCAGGATTTCAGCTCTGCTTGCTAGGTAGTGGTGCCCTGGGCTGGAGGCTGCAGCAGACGGAGAGAGAGGAGAAGGAGAAGGTGCAGGCTGTTCCACAGAGATGGCTTTATTTGGGGAGGTCTGTGAAGGGTCTCTGCTCTTCTTCTTTCTCCCCTAATGGGGTACAGTATGCTTCTTTTATAGGGTTGGAAAGGATCCAAGCTTGACCAATGGGTAAGGGGTTAACATGGGTTACAGAGGGTTATAGGGTGGAGGTTATAGGTATATATACAGTCTTATAGGGTTACAGAGATAGGTTAAGGGTGGAGGACAGGGAAACAGGAATTTTCTTTTGCTGTTTCAGCATTCCTATTGTTCATATCCTCCATGGTGCTTTTCCTAAATCTATGGGGTTTACTACACTGGGGGACACCATGGCCCTTGCATCTGTGCCTTGGGCTCCTCCAGATCTTCCTGACAGAGCTGCACCCTGTGACAGGCATGGGGCTGTGTGCTGGTGCAGTGGCTGGAGGGAGCTCCCACCATGGGGAAGGGTGGTATGGCCTGGTCCCCTGGGGATCCGGGGGCTCTGGGCTGTCTGACCCCTGTTTGAGGTCAAGGATAGCCCTTTCTTCTCCTCCTGTTTCACCCTGGACCAGAGCTCCCAGTGAAACAGGAGGAGGAGAAAGTACCACCCTAGGGGGGGTTGGGGAAGGACTGGGCTATTTTCCATGTCTTTTGTTGCATCTCTGACCTTGAGAATGCATCCTCTCCTGCCTCTGCCCAGGCTTCTCCTATTCAAAACCTCTTCCATTAACTGCTTCACTCCCTGGAGAAGTTTGTCCTGAGAAGCACATGGACCTTGTATGTTGGCAGCATTTTTCCTGGGGGTGCAAGTGGGAACTTTTAAGGCCCCAGTGAGAAAGCAGAGGGTGGTGCTGAGCAAAGCTGAGCTCCCAAGCAAGCTTCATCTGGTTGAGGCTGAGGTTTTGAGAGGAGATGGGCAGGGAGGGGCCCTGTGCTGTGATCTTGCCTCCTGGTGGCTTTGTTGGCCATCACATCTGGGTGTCCTCAGATGCTGATGGCTTGGAGAGGGCCCAAAGTCACTTCCTTCCTACCCATGTCTCCATCTGCAGAGCCCCTGTGGTGCTGTTGTGTCCTTCCATTCCCCTCACTTGGCCCATCCAAGCTCCTGGTTTTCTGCCCAGTTGTGATCAGTGTGTGGGGCTTCTCTTGAGCGATCCTTTGTGCTGGGCTGGAAATGGGGACAGTTTCCTGCCTGTCCTGAAGTCCTGCATGGCTAAAGCAGCACATGGCCACGTCAGGCACTGGTCACCAAGCCTGATGTCCTGGCAGGGGCACAGGACTTGTTCTGGCTGATCCCTGTCTTGTGACTTTGCTGCTGGGAGCAGGTTTAAACCCTTGAGGAGCCTGGTGGCACCAGGGGCACCAGGGATGGATTAGTCTGATCCCTTGTGCTGGCCAGGAACCTGCAGTCCTGGGGTGACCCAGCCCTGTGCACTGGGATGTGGGTGCTAGAGTGACACTGGATGGTGGCAGCAGGGGGACAGATGGGCAGGGGTGTCCCTCCAGCCCAGGCTGAGAGGGGCTGCAGAGTGAGGATATGGATGGAGTGAGCTCTGGCAGGGCTTTCCTGCTTGTTCAGCACTCCCTGGTCCCCCTCATCCCTTGCACACCTGACAGAGATGCCTTGAGCTGTGATGAGAGTGGGGTTTCACTGGCTCCTGTGGCCAGGTGAGCCAGGAAGGTCAGGGGGATGTGGAGCTCCTGGGTGTCTGCTCAGTGGAGCTGCCTGTGAGCACCAGGAACTGAACAGGTTTGGGCAGCAGAAGCCAACCCAAAGCTCAGAGCTTTGCATGGCAAGCTCTGGAGCACCAGTCTGGTGAGGAGAGGCTGGGGGAACTGGGGGGCTCAGCCTGGAGAAGAGGAGGCTCAGGGGGATCTTCTTTCTCTCTACAGCTTCCTGAGAGGAGGCTGGGGCTGGACAGGGGTCGAGCTCTGCGCCCAGGAACAAGGAACAGGAAGAGAGGAAACAGCCTCGAGTTGTGCCAGTTGAGGTTTAGGTTGGATATTAGGAAAAATTCCTTCCCTGAAGTTGTAGTGTGGCATTGGCACAGGCTGCCCTGGGCAGAGGTGGAGTCACCATCCCTGGAAGTGGTCAGAAGATGTGTGGGGACATGGTTTAGTGGTGAACATGGTAGAGCTGGGATGAATGGTTGGACTTGATGGTCTTGGAGGGCTTTTCCAGTCTGAAGGATTCCACAATTCTGTGCTTGTGCTTCCTCTGGTACACATGCACCAGAGTCACCATCCCTGGAGGTGTTCAGATGTGTGGGTGTGGCATTTGGGGACATGGTTTAGTGGTGAACATGGCAGTGCCAGGGTAAATGGTTGGACTTGATGATCTTAGAGGGCTTTTCCAGTCTGAAGGATTCCACAATTCTGTGCTTGTGCCTCCTCTGGTGCACATGCACACACCCCAGCTCCCTGCCCAGCCTTGCAGGCAGTGTGAGCACACACAGCTATGGGGGAATGGCAGCAGGTGCCAGAGGGCAGCTCCTGCCCATCCTGCAGTGCCAGAGGGCAGCTCCTGCCCATCCTGCAGTGCCAGGGCAGTTCCTGCAGTGCCAGAGGGCTCCTGCCAGTCCTGCAGTGTCAGGGCAGCTCCTGCCAGTCCTGCAGTGTCAGGGCAGTTCCTGCAGTGTCAGGGCAGCTCCTGCCCATCCTGCAGTGCCAGAGCAGTTCCTGCAGTGCCAGGGCAGCTCCTGCCCATCCTGCAGTGCCAGGGCAGCTCCTGCCCATCCTGCAGTGCAAGGGCAGCTCCTGCCCATCCTGCAGTGCCAGGCTTGAGCAGCCTCGTGCTTCCCCTGCTCACCCCACACCCACTGCTGCCCTGCCCAGCTCTACAACGAGGAGATCCTGGACCTGTTTGACAGCACCCGCGACCCCGACTCGCGCCACCGCAAATCCAACATCAAAATCCACGAGGATGCCAGTGGGAGCATCTACACCACAGGAGTCACCTCACGCCTCATCAGCTCCCAGGATGAGGTGAGTGCAGCATGGGGCAGACACAGAGCAGGAGTGGCAGCTTGGTGGGGGGACGTCAGAACTCAGTGCATCCCTCTGGGTGTCCAGAGTTGCCAAAGCCCCTCTTGGGGAGCTTGGAGACCCTGGCACACAGCCCAGAACACCTGGGGATTTAATTATGACCTGTACCAGCTTTGTATGAAGACCTGAAAGTCACAGAAGTTTAAATAATGTAATAATAAAATTATCACCAGGTGAAAGGGTAGATTTTGGGATTTTTAGAATGAGGGTTTTGGGGATAAGATGGAGGGACTTGGGCGTGTCCAGCCTTTCTTCTTCTTTACCTCCATCTTCTGCTGTGATGCTGGCATTTTGGGATTAGTTTAGAATAGAAGCTCACTGTCTAACATAAGTGATAAGTATTAGAAAGTAACTGTAAATATGTTATATGTAGTTTGTAGTATAAAAAACCAGCACTGCCCTGGGGGTGGTCAGAGTGCCTACACTGCATCCAACAGACTCCAGGTCACACACTGAGCAACCATATATCCATTTGGAAACTCAGATTAATTTTAAATGGGACTCTTACTTGGAGATGAAAACTTTCAGTGGAAATCCTATTAATTCACATACACCTTTCCTGAGAATCCTCATAACCAATACACAGGAATGTTATCCTAAGGGATTGGGACCCATGCCAGAGAGTTAATTTGCAAGTTGCAGCAGGCTGCCCTTCTGAGTGGACCTCGGCTGAGCAGGAGAAAAATTTTATAGATAAGATATAATAAACAACTTTAAGAACGAAAACTGAAGAACTCCAGCTCGTTCTTTGGACGTGCAGGCTGAAACAGAGACTTTTCACATATCTCAGAGCTGCAATTAACAGCAAAACTCCCGAGAGGGGGAGATCTCTCCCAGGGTGGGAGTGCAGTCCTGGGGGTGTTCTGGAAAAGGTCAGAGTGTCCCCTGAGCTGCACAGGGTCTGTCCTGACTCCCTAGAAGGGTGTTTTAAGGTTTCCTTCCCTGCCTGGTGTTGTTGCAGCTGATCCAGTGCCTGAAGCAAGGAGCTCTTTCCCGCACCACAGCCAGCACCCAGATGAACGTGCAGAGCTCCAGATCCCATGCCATCTTCACTATTCACCTGTGCCAGACCAGAGTGTGTGCCCGCCCAGAGCTGGTGAGATGTGCTCCTGCCTCATGGCCAGGCTGTTCTTGGGTTTCCTACCCAGGTGATGAATGAAGTTCCCTTGGGAAGGGGAGAGGGTTTGAAGTCTAAGAGAAGCAGGGATTTCTCTTTCCAGTCACAGCCTGCATTAGGGTTTAATGGGAGCTGAGGGTGAACTGATCTGAGGCAGGATGGCTCAGAGCAAGCTGCTCTTGGGATGCTGTCCCCATCTCTGGGGGCTGGATATGGAGGGTGAACGCTCAGAGTCTGGCTGACACCTGAGTGAAGGCCAGGGAGCCTCTGCCCGCTCCAGTGTGAGGTGCTGACCCCTAGTGTGTCCCTGGCTGCAGGTGAATGAGGAGGTGAGCAGCCTTCTGGATGGATCCCAACCTGCTGCTGAGTACGAGACCTTGACAGCCAAGTTTCACTTTGTGGACCTGGCTGGCTCAGAGAGGCTGAAGCGGACGGGTGCCACGGGCGAGAGAGCCAAGGAGGGCATCTCCATCAACTGTGGGCTGGTAGGGCTGCACTGCTGGGCAGGGGGGGGACAGGGCAAGGCCTGCCAGGAGAGGCCTGCCTTCTGGGTTTGCCTGGAGCTGCCCTGGGCTGTTGGGGAACTGCTGTCGTGGCTGGGGTTTGTGCTGCCTGTGCCTGAGGGGGAGAACACGCAGTGCCAGTGGTGGGAGCACAGCTCTGCTGCCAAAGGAGACTCCTGCTGTGGGGAGGGGTGCAGCTGGGCACAGGGGTGCAGCTCCCAAAAGGGTGAGATCTGCTAATCAGAGCTAAAAACCCCACTGTGGGGCTTGATGCTTCTTCTCAGTGCAGCATGGAGAGAGGCACAGCCCAGGCTAAGGGGAGCCCCACACCTGCCCCTTGTGCAACCCAAACCTGTGCTACAGTGTGTGCCCCAGGCCTGAGGTGCTGTACCCTCAGCCAGGGCTGAATCTGGGGGGGCTTCCCTTTGTGTTGGTAGCTGGCCTTGGGGAATGTCATCAGTGCCCTTGGAGACCAGAGCAAGAAGGTCGTGCATGTGCCCTACCGCGACTCCAAGCTCACCCGCCTGCTGCAGGATTCCCTCGGGGGCAACAGGTAAGGGGGACCCAGGTGGGGGCTGAGCTTGGGCTGAGGGCTGCAGGGGCTGTCCCCTTGCCCACGGGGCTGAGGGGGCTCTGGAGCTGTGGAGGAGCTGTCTCAGGACTCCAGTGGCTGCCTGGTGAGGGAGAGATGCCTTCTTCCAGGCACGGCATGACTTTGCAGATGTAAAGACATCATCAGCCTCAGGTGCAATCAGCAGCTTTGGCAGAATCAGCTGATGCAAAACCCTCCTGAGCCCTGACAGATCTGGGACTTGGCAAGTGTTGGTGCCCAGAATGGGATTGAATTCCCTGCCTCTTCTCCAAAGAGGGAGGCATTGAGGAAGGGCTGCCTTTCCCAGTGCTGTGTGTGATGTGCTTGAGGGGTCTTGTGGATGCTCTGGCTGCTCTAGCTCTGGGAGGGATGAACCCAGTTCATAGCTTGTTTTAAAACCCAGAAGGGCCCAGGATCGGTGTATGGGGGCACATGGTCTGTGCTGAGCCCTGGGTTTGTACCTGCTGCGTTGCTGAGCTGTGCAAGGACTGTCTTTCACCCTGCCCTTGCCATCCCCAAGCCAAACCATCATGATTGCCTGTGTGAGCCCCTCTGACCGGGATTTCATGGAGACCCTGAACACTCTCAAGTACGCCAACCGCGCTCGCAACATCAAGAACAAGGTGGTGGTGAACCAGGACAAGACGAGCCAGCAGATCAGCGCCCTGCGCGCCGAGATCGCCCGGCTGCAGATGGAGCTCATGGAGTACAAGGCAGTGAGTGGGGCCAGGTCCTGCTGTGCCCAGCAAGGGAAGCACTGCAGCCAGCTGTTCACTGCCCCCAGTGGGATGGGGTGTCCCTGCTGTGAGCAGGTTTGCCCCCGAGCAGGCTGCATGGGCCGGAGAGCTCAGTCCTTTATGGGGACAGACTGCCCAAAACCCAAGCAGCTCTCAGCTGCTGGCTGCCTTTGGCAAGCATAAGGGATATCAGCTCTTTAGTGATTATCAGCTCTTTTGAGTTCAGCTCTTTTGCTTGCTAAGGTGCTGCAGGCCAGCTGGCAGACGGAGAGAGAGAGAGAGAAGGCTGCTCTGGAGTTCCACAGCAATGGCTTTACTGGGGGTCTGTGAAGGGTTCCAGCGATGGCTCTTCTACCAGAATGGGCTAAAACAGCCCATTCTATAGGGTATAGAGGGGTCAGAAATTGTCCAATAGCAGGGGTTAAGGAGAAGCGACCTATGGGGTTACAGACAGATAAGCTGGGGTCCAAAAGGCAGAAGACAGGGGCTTGCCATGACTTGGCATTTCCTATCTTCAGGCCTCTGCTCTCCACGGGGCCCTAGCAAGCCCATGGCCTGCTACAATGGGGGAGAGAATTGAGAGAGTAACAGTGAGAAAATTCCTTGGTTTAGATACAGTTTAAGAAGTAAACCAAACCACGGAATTCATTCCCCGTGTCCCATCACAGGGAGGTGTTCAGCCATGCCCAGCCCAGCAGAGCTCTGTCAAGTGTAGCAGTGACTTGGGACAACACTCCAGGCATCCCCTGTTTCTTCTTCCTTCCCCCAGCTTTATATGCTGAGCATCACATCCTGTGGTTTGGGATATCCCTGTGGTGAGTGGGGGACAGCTGTCCTGGCTGTGTCCCCCCAGCTCCTTGTGCACCCCTGGCCCAATCCTGGTGGGGGCAGAACAGCTCCTGACTCAGCAGGAGCTAAAATCATCCCTGTGGGATCAGTGCTGTTCTCAGCACAGATCTCAAACACAGCACCACACAAAAGCTGCTGTGAGGAAAATGAACTCCACCAAAGGCAAACCCAGCTGATGGAGCAACCCTGGTGAGGAGGCAGAGACAAGTGCAGAAAGGGCCTTCCTTGTGTTTAAATTGGGGCAGGTTTAGTGGGACAGACCCTCCTGCTTCCCATCCTCTGCGCCCTAGGAGAAACTGCTAGGAGGAGTCAGGAGGCTTAAGAAACAGGATCTCAGCTCAGGACCTTGGCCAGGTTTTGGGGGTGGTAAGGCAGGGAGAAGCCCTGAAGCCTCTCCCACCCTCTGCATGTTGAGCTCAGGCTCTCCTGGTCCCTGCAGTTTTGTCCCTGCTCTCTGTCTGGAGCTGCCCCAGGGGTGCACTTGTGGGTCTGTGTGTCCCAGGCAGGTCTCCGTGCCCCAGCTTGCCCTGCCCTCAGGGGCTCCCCTCCTGTGCCCCCAGGGCAAGCGGGTGATCGGGGAGGATGGCACGGAGGGCTACAGCGACCTGTTCCGGGAGAACGCCATGCTGCAGAAGGAGAACAGCGCGCTGCGCATGCGCGTCAAGGCCATGCAGGAGGCCATCGACGCCATCAACAGCAGGGTCACCTACCTCATGAGCCAGGAGGCCAACATGATGCTGGCCAAAGCAGGTGGGGCTGGGCTGCTACGTGGCATGGGGGGCCAGCAGCTGGGCCAGGGGCTGGGGGACAGCAGGGTGAGCCTCTCTCACCGGTGCCTGTGCGCTGCAGGTGACGGGAACGAAGCCATCGGCACCCTGATCCAGAACTACATCCGGGAGATTGAGGAGCTGAGGTGAGCGGGCACTCAGCTGGGGGGTCTGGGCTCCTGGGGCCAGGAGGCTCACACAGCTCAGTGCCTCCAGCGTGGCTGGGGTGGACTGGAAGCACTGCTGCTACACAGGGTTGAAGGAGGCCCAGCCTTGGTGCCAGACAGTGCTTTGGCTATTGTTGCCCCTTGGTATGGGCTTTGATGGAGGGGGAAGTTCTATTTGAAGTGCCTGGAACCTTTCAGAGACTGCTGCCTCCCACAGTGGGTCCATGCCAGTCTATTGGTTGATCCTGGTACCCTGTCTGGCAGCATTATGGCTTTCTGGCCCATCATTAGGGGGAATGGCTTAATAGTGACTGTCTCTGGCTCACACCATCCAAGCACATCATGTTCAGTCTGTAGAAGACTGGGGAGACCTTAGAGCCCCTTCCACTGCCTAAAGGAGGCTATAAGAAAGAGGGAGAGCACTGGTTTTTTGGTTTTTTTTTGTTTTTTTTTTTTTTTTAATGTGGACAGATAGCTATAGCACAAGGGAAAATAGCTTGAAACTAAAAGCGGAGAGATTTAAATTAGAAGTTAGGAAGAAATTCTTCCCTAGAGGGTGTTGAGGCAGTGGCACAGTTTGCCCAAAGGAGCTATGGTTATTCCACATCTCTAAGTCTATGGAGCTTGCAGCAACCTGCTCTAGTGGAAGGTGTCCCTGCCCCTTCCATAGCAGGAATGTGGACCGAGATGAGGTTTAAAGTCCCTTCCAGCCCAAACCACCCTGTGATTCTAAACCCAGGCAAGACCCCCTGTTGGGCCAGTGGGATGGCCCCTGTTGGACTGTGCTGTTTGCACTCCCTAGGACGAAGCTGCTGGAGAGCGAGTCCATGAACGAGTCCCTGCGGCGCAGCCTCTCGCGGGTCTCTGCGCGGGGCCCCTTCCCCGTGGGCTCCTCACCGGGCGCGGGCCTGGCCGGGCTCTGCAGCCCCGCGGCTGCGCTGGACACCGAGGCCTCCGACGTGCTCCGAAGGGCCAAGCAGGACCTGGAGCGCCTCAAGAAGAAGGAGCGGCGGCAGCAGAGGAAGAGGTGAGGGGAGGTGTTGGCAAGGGGGAGGCTCAGTCTGTCCCTGTGGGGCTGAGTCTCCTGCTTCCCCTCTCTCTGCTACAGCCAGAGCCCACATGCCTGCCTTCCCCTCCCAGCTTTGCCCTGCCCTTGGTCTCCTGCTCCCCATCATGGAATTCCAGAGGCTGTTTTACCCAAAGGGTCCAAAAGCAGCAGGGAGGGGAGGGTGGCCCAGCAGAAGTTGTTTCTGGCCTCTCTCATGCTGGGACTCACCAGACCCCCTCTGTTCCTGCCAGCCCTGCCTGTCCTTGGTCTCCTGTTCCCCATCACATAATTCCAGAGGCTGTTTTACCCAAAGAGTCCAAAAGCAGCAGGGAGGGGAGGGTGGCCCAGCAGAAGCTGTTTCTGGCCTCTCTCATGCTGGGACTCACCAGACCCCCTCTGTTCCCCCCCAGCCCAGAGAAGGAGGCGTTTAAGAAGAGGCAGAAACTGCAGCAGGACAATGGGGAGGAGACAGATGAAAATGAGGTGGAAGAGGTGAGTGGGCATTGTGTTCATGCTGTGGGGGTGTCTGGGTGTGGAGCACTGAAACTGCCACACGTGGGACAGGGACCAAGCTCAGCCTGGCCCTGAAGCAGGCTGGAAGGGTCACTCTGCTGAGGACTCCATGCTGGAGCATGGTGGAAGCTGGGTACTCCCCAGTCAGCCTGGATGTAGAATGAGGAGTCCACGTTTTTGGGGGCTTGGTTTCAATCAGCATAGATGAAGAGGGGTCAGCTGGGAAGGGATGAATGGGTCAAATTGCTGTTCCTCTCAACAGTATGTGCTGGGGGTCCAGAAATGGTGCTGCAGCCCCTGGGCATCCTGTGTGGGAGGCTGAGTCCCACTTGGGGGGCTGTGGCCCATTGCTGTTGGGTGAGCTCAGGTTTGGAGGAGGGAGGAGCTGTGGGGACAAGGACAGCCCATCCTGCTGGCTGAGATTAGGCACTCATCTCTCAGGAGGAGGAAGAACAGGATGAGAGTGGCTGTGAGGAAGAGGATGGGCGTGAGGATGAAGATGAGGACTCGGCCAGTGAAGAGAGCCTGGTGGACTCGGACTCGGATGCAGAGGAGAAGGGTAAAGTGGAGATGTGTGTGCAGCCATGGGCATGGAGGGGCACTTGCTGGCATCTCTGGCAATATGCTCTGCTCTTGGGGAGGCAGAGCCCACCGTGCCCCAGCCACGTCTGCTCTGTGGGACTTGGAAGAGCCCCAGGGCTGCTGCAGTGCTCCTTCAGTGCTGCTGCTCCCCAGCAATGGGGGTTCCCATCAGCTCCTCTGTCCTCTCCATGTGCTGTGACTCAGTGGGGCCATGCAAGTGATGCTCCCCATGCCTCCCAGCCTGACTTTCTCCTCTGCCTCCAGCTGTGAATTTCCAGGCTGACCTGGCAGATCTGACCTGTGAGATTGAGATCAAGCAGAAGCTGATTGATGAGCTGGAGAACAGCCAGCGGCGGCTGCAGACCCTCAAGCACCAGTATGAGGAGAAGCTGATCCTCCTGCAGAACAAGATTCGGGACACACAGCTGGAGCGGGACCGGGTCCTGCAGAACCTCAGTGAGAACTGCCTCACCCTTGGGATCCCATTCCCAGACCCCAGTTCCAGCTCAAGCCCAGCTAACTCTAAGTCAAAGCATCCACCCCTTGCTCTGGTAGAGCTTTGCCATCCCCCTGCTTCTCCTTGAATCCCTGGCATCCCCAAGACTCTGCTTGTCTTGCCATGGGAGCAGCATCAGTCAGCTGCACAGCTCTGCACCCTGCTGGTGCTGCAGAAGGGTGGCAAAGTCTCTTCCAGCCTTGAGCACCACTTCATGAGCTTCGGGGACTCCTGGGGAAACTGGGGGGCAAAAGACCCAGTGGTGTGGCTGATCTCCAGGCTTAGATAGGACAGGGTCACCCCTGTGTGTGGCTGTGTGTCCCAGTCTGCAGCTCTGCTCAGGCCAGCCCTGTATCTTCACTCAGTGCTGAGCTCTTCCAGCAGATATTCCCAGACAGACCCCAGTTCCTGATGGGTGAGGGGGGCTCAGATGGGCAGGGAGGGATGCAGTCCCTGGTGCCTCCAGGCAGGTCTGTGGGTACAGGCGGATCCTGAGGTGCATTGTGAGCTCTCTCCCCACCCACCAGGCACCATGGAGTGCTACACCGAGGAGAAAGCCAACAAGATCAAGGCAGACTATGAGAAGCGGCTGAAGGAGATGAACAGGGACCTGCAGAAGCTGCAGGCAGCCCAGAAGGAGCACGCTCGCCTGCTCAAGAACCAGTCCCGCTATGAGCGGGAGCTGCGCAAGCTGCAGGCAGAGGTGGCCGAGATGAAGAAGGCAAAGGTACCTGGATGTGCCGGGGCAGGGAGGATTCCTGGCCAAGGCCGGAGCAGTGTTTTGCACTCTGGTGGCAGTGCAGAGTGCTGTCTGCTGGGTGTGTGGTGCCCCGGGGCGGTGGCACAGCGGCCCCTCCTTGCAGGTGGCGCTGATGAAGCAGATGCGGGAGGAGCAGCAGCGGCGCCGGCTGGCCGAGACCAAGAGGAACCGGGAGATCGCGCAGCTCAAGAAGGAGCAGCGCCGGCAGGAGGTCAGAGCCGGGCTTGCCATGTGCGGGAGGCATGGAGAGGGGATACTTCAGAAGCAGGGGCAAGGACCACAAGGGTCCCCAACTCCCTGCTCTGCGTTATCAGCCTTTTTGGAGGTGTCTTGGGCTGCCAAAAGCCTCTGCACTCTGCCTCGAGATTGTGACTGGTCTGGCTGGGGAGAGGATGATTGTTCTGCTCTGGCACTCCAGGTGCTCACAGATAGCTTGGTAAAGCCTCACTGGAGGTCCTAGCAGAGCACAGCTGGATGAACGGCTCCCAGAGGCTTCCCACTGCTCCTGCTGGAGTTGTGGGATGCTGTGGGAGGGGAAACGTGCAGCCAGAGCCAGCTCAAGGCTGGGAGCCTGCTCGGTGTTAGAATCAGGAGTGAGACTGTGCCGAAGGGAGCACTGGGACTGCGACCACGTCTGGGCTGGACCTCAGGGGTGTCTTTTTCTTTCTCACTCATGCAGTTCCAGATCAGGGCTCTGGAATCTCAGAAGCGACAGCAGGAAATTGTGCTGCGGAGGAAGACCCAGGAGGTGAGGAAAGGGGTTTTCCTCCACATAGCCCCCAGCTTCCATGGGGGTCTGGGCCCCAGTGCTTGGCTCAGAGAAATCCCATCTTTCAGACAGGGCTGGCTTTGGGAATCCCAAAAGGCAGGGAGAGGTTTTATGGCTCAGGAACCAGGTGGGAAATGGATGTAGGCAGCAGCAGAGTTCCCCATCCCGAGCAGCAGAGCCTGGTGGCAGGGGTGGGCTATGAGGGAGGAGAGGGAGCCCCATGAGGCACAGATGTCCCTGGGCTTTGCTGCTTTGCTGCTCTCAGACCTGTGGGGACCTGGGGGTGATGCCAATGGGTTTAGGCTGGGTGAGACTGCCCAGCTGACACCATTTGCCATTCCTTTGAGGGAGTCCCCCCTAAGCTGTACGTTCCTTGGTAGCAGCAGGCAGGCAAGGAGACTCCACACGGCTCCTGAGGGTGCTGATTAGATGAGGGTTTATTGGGGGTCCCACCCCCGGGAGCAGCATGGTTTCTGAGGGAGAAGGGGGAGGGAGGGGAAAAGGGCCAAGAGAGAGCCTGGTCTGCCTCCCACAGCTTAACAGGGAGGTTCAAAGTGGGCATGGAATAAGCCTTGGGCCAGTGGGATTACAGATCCATGATACTGCAGGGGAGGATCACAGGCTTGGAATAAACCCTACATTTTCCAGGGGTGAGACAGAGCATACATGTAACTGAGATGTAACAGCACAGACCCTCTCCTGTGTCCTCCCTGCGCGCAGGTGTCGGCGCTGCGCCGCCTGGCCAAGCCCATGTCGGACAGGGTGGCGGGCAGGACGGGCCCGAAGCCGGCCATGCTGGACTCGGGCGCCGAGGTCTCGGCCAGCACCACCTCCTCCGAGCCCGAGAGCGGCGCCCGCTCCGTCTCCAGCATCGTGCGCCAGTGGAACAGGAAAATCAACAACTTTCTGGGAGACTCCTCAGCCTCCATTAATGGGGCTCGGCCTGTCAGGTCAGGGCAGGGGCTGGGTGGTCGGGGGTGAGACATCCCAGGGATCCCATGCCTGGCTTTTGGTGGGTGGTGGAGATTGAAGGGTGGCTGCTTAGTGTCAACTTGAGCCATATTAAATCACTGATCCTTTGATAAGCTGTGCTGGCAGAGTGTGACTGTCACCTGGGTTTGAGCTCAAAGCTGGCCTTCCATGAGGATTAAATGTTGTGGCATAAGCCCTGCTGGACTCATCTCTTGTCCCGCTTTGCTAAGAGGAAAAGTTGGGTGATATATGGTCTCCTTGAGCCAGGTCTCATGAGCTATCTTGGAGATCCATATCACACCCAAGATAGCTCAGCTACTTCAGAAGGCATCAAATCAGCAGGATGGCTTCTGTGGTAGTGTTGGAAACAGAAAACTTTTAATAAAAGGCAAAATAACAAAACTCTTTACAGAGAAAAACTGAGCCAGGTGCAAGAGGTTCTTGCTCCTGGTAAAACACCTCACAAAAGCAATTTGTTTCTTTGTTCATTTCTTTTTCTAGCAAATTGCTCAGGTGGCACTTTTTGGCTCCTGTCCAATTGGTTATCCTTAAGTTTGAGGTGAAGTCCCCCAAATCCTATGAGGTGTCTTTTTACCTAATCAAAGAAAGAAACTTCTGAGCTTTTTTCCTTTTTAAGAAGACAAAGGATAGTTTTGTCACTCTGTCAACAGAGAGCACATTCCTCCAGCTGGGCAATGCAGAAACAACACAGATGCATCCTCTGTTTCTGGCCAGCCAGATCGCAGATCCTGGGGCAAGCCCAGCTCTCCAGCACGGTGTGGCCATCTGCCCAAATGCCTGTTCTTCCCTCTGGCTGTAGGAAGAAGTTCCCCAAGAAGGGGTCGAGCCAGTCCTTCAGCAAAGCTGCCCGCCTCAAGTGGCAGTCCCTGGAGCGGCGCATCTTCGACATTGTCATGCAGAGAATGACCATTGTCAACCTGGAGGCAGACATGGAGAGGCTCATCAAGGTGGCTGTGGCCCTGGGGACAGAGAGGGCTGGCTGGTGGGGGCAGGACAGGGAGGTGGCCATGTGGACAGTGCTAATCCCCCTTCCCTTTTCCCCCAGAAACGTGAGGAGCTGTCGCTGCTGCAGGAGGCGTTGCTGGGCAAGCGGGCAAAGCTGCAGGCAGAGAGCCCCAAGGAGCAGAAGGGTCTGCAAGAGCTGAACGAGGAGATTGAGGTGCTGGGGGCCAACATTGACTATATCAACGACAGCATTTCAGACTGCCAGGCCACCATCATGCAGATTGAGGAGACCAAGGTGGGCAGAAGGACTGGGTCTGGCTGGCAGGGAGAAAATGAGAGCATCCCTCTGTGGCAAGAGCATCCTTGGGCACAGCCAGCTGGGGCTGGGCTCTGCTCAGAGGACCCAGAGTCCTCTGAGCTTTCACTCTTGATGGGGCTTCACCTACACAGTCACTTCTCATTAGGTGATTAATTACAGAGAGGAGTTCTGGCAGGTCCTTGCATGTCCATGCTGCCCTGGAATTGTAGGGAGCCTGCAGCCCCCATTTGCCCATGGGGCTGGTGGTCACTTGTACCCATGGTTGTTGCTTCCTGCACTGGAAACATCCCAGGAGGATTGGCTTTTTCCCAGCAGAAACCATCTAGATTTTGTGTGCAGTTGTGATACTGGGCATGCCACTGGGCAGCTCCCAACTGCCCTCAATGCCTGCAGCCTGAAATGGAGGCTATGTGCTGTCCCTGGCTTGTCCCCAGCTGTCACCTTGATTAGCAGGAAAGAAGGGCTGCTGTTAATTCACACTAGGCTTTGGGTTGTGGATTTGGGTGAGCCTGGTGTCTGTTCAGTGTCTAGTTTTGTGTTGGAATCCGAATTTCTGTAGCAGTGCATAAGCCCTTCAGCACTGGACAGTCCCATGGCTGGATGTCCCCAGTAGCCACTGGGCAGACTGGGGAGGGTGAGGGTTGGACTGGGCAGTGCTTGCAGGGTGATGGAAGTGCTGTGCTTGCCATGGAGGCCCATCCAGCAGCAAAGCTACCCTGCTGCATCCAGCCCTTGTCCCTCTGTGTTTCAGGAGGAGCTGGACTCCACAGACACCTCGGTGGTGATCAGCTCCTGCTCCCTGGCCGAAGCCCGGCTGCTGCTGGACAACTTCCTGAAAGCCTCCATCGACAAGGTGTGGGGCAGGGCTGGGCTGTGCATGTGTGACAGGGCTTCTTTTGGGTGCCAGGGTGGGGGCCTGGTGGCCAGGAGCTTGCCTGAGTGCCAGCATTGCTTGCACAGGGGCTGCAGGTGGCCCAGAAGGAGGCGCAGATCCGGCTGCTGGAGGGGCGCCTGCGGCAGACGGACGTGGCCAACTCCTCACAGAACCACGCCCTGCTGGATGCCCTGAGGGAGAAGGCTGAGTCACACCCCGAGCTGCAGGCACTGATTCACAACGTCCAGCAAGGTGGGGCCTCAGACAGGGGCAGCTTCAGGCCAGGTGTGCTGCCTGTGGCCTGCGTGCCCACCTGGACTGGGCCTGCAGAAAGCATTTGGAGGAGCTGTGGCTGGGACCCTGCCCAAGGGCCCTGTTGGGTGGGAGCGTGTGCCCTGGATAACAGGGACAAGGATTGGGTCACCCCCCATGCCCTCCTGGCCATGGATAACAGGGACTGGGTCAGCCCCCATGCCTTTCTGGCCATGGATAACAGGGACTGAGTCACCCCCCATGCCTTTCTGGCCATGGATAACAGGGACTGGGTCAGCCCCCATGCCTTTCTGGCCATGGATAACAGGGACTGGGTCACCCCCCATGCCTTTCTGGCCATGGATAACAGGGACTGGGTCAGCCCCCATGCCCTCCTGGCCATGGATAACAGGGACAAGGACTGGGTCACCCCACACACTTTCCTGCCCATGGATAACAGGGACTGGGTCAGCCCCCATGCCTTCCTGGCCATGGATAACAGGGACTGAGTCACCCCCCATGCCTTTCTGGCCATGGATAACAGGGACTGGATCACCCCCCATGCCTTTCTGGCCATGGGTAACAGGGACTGGGTCAGCCCCCATGCCCTCCTGGCCATGGATAACAGGGACTGGGTCACCCCCCATGCCTTTCTGGCCATGGATAACAGGGACTGGGTCAGCCCCCATGCCCTCCTGGCCATGGATAACAGGGACAAGGACTGGGTTATCCCTCATACCTTCCTGGGCTGCCCCCTCTGCTGCAGGGTTTGGGGTGGCTGGTGACAGTGGGGTCCCCTCTGGGTCCCCTCTGCTGATGCACTGTCTCCCTCTCACAGAGAATGGCTACACCAGCACAGATGAGGAAGTTTCAGAGTTCAGCCTGGCCTCAGATGGGAGGTGAGCACCCAGCCTGGCACTGTCTGATGCCATTCATGGACCTCGTAGAAGGCCATGGATGAACAGAGCCCCACCTGAGCTTTTCTGTGGTGCCCAGCCCTTGGTGGGGGGAGCAGGATGTGTCTTGGACACGAGCAGGGAATGAAGGCTTGGTCATTCCTTGGAGAAAGGGTGCTGGGGGGCAGAGGGTGACCCAAGGAGTCTGGTGGAGCAGTGGCACCAGCTTTCTGAAGAGAGTTTGGCACTGAAGATCCATCTTTGCTCCTTTCTTCTTGCAGCATCTCCCAATCTTTCACCATGAAGGGCTCAGCAAGCCAGGATGACTTCAAGTTCAAGGTTAGTTGGCCTTTTTGTGTGGGCTGGTCACAGAGGCTGGGAGGAGGGAGGGAGGGATGTTCAGTGATGCTTCAGGCCTCTGCTCTGCAGTCTGAACCTTGGGGAGCCAGGCTTGGCATGAGACAGTATGGCTGCTCTGTGGATGGGCAGAACCAAGGTCTCCTGGTACAATGGTCCTGTCCTGGAGCACCAGAGACTTGGGAAGCACCCACCACAGCAGGCAGTACCTTCCAAATCTGAGTGGCACTGAGGATGTCCCCGTGGAGGGAAGCAGCCACTGTTCTGTACAGGCTGTCATGTGTGCTGGAGGGCTGGCTGATGGGCATCCCAGTGGGACCTGGGGGAGCTGGTTTGTGGCCAGAGAGCACAAACTCTCCCAGCCCCCATTGCTGGCTGCTCCCACTGCCCCTGTGTGCCCGCCCTGAGCCCTCTGCCCTGCTCTAGGGAGAGCCCAAGCTTTCGGGGCAGATGAAGGCAGTGTCAGCTGAGTGTCTGGGACCCACGCTGGACATGTCCACCAAGAACATCACCAAGTCCTTGGCATCCCTCATGGAGATCAAGGAGGACGGGATCGGCTTCTCCATCCGGGACCCCTATTACAAGGAGAAGGTGTCGCGCACCATCAGCCTGCCCACCCGGGGCAGCACCTTGTGAGCATGGGCACCAGGGGCTGGGGGGCTCAGGAGGCATGGCCTGGGGACCTGTGCCTGGCCTGTGGAGGTGCAGAGGGGTGTGGGGAGCCCAGTCCTGCATCTGTCCATGCTTGGCTACAGCATGCCATGGGGAATTTCCTCAGCGGGGCTTGGAGAGTGTGTAGGAGTGTGTTGGTGTCCTTTGCAGATGGAGAGGAGGATACTTCAGAAGCAGGGAAGGAAGGGGGGAGATGGAGAGGGGATACTTCAGAAGCAGGGGGAAGGACCATGAGGGTCCCCAACTCCCTGCTCTGGGTTATCAGCATTTTTGGATGCTGATTTTTGGTGCAAAAGCCTCTGCACTCTGCCTCGAGACTGTGACCCCAGCCCAATCTCTTGTTTGCTCTTCTGGGGGAGGACAGAGGTGTTCCCTGTGGAGGGATCCTGGGGCAGGGCAGGCACCCACTCTGCTTTGTTCACTTGCTGCAGTCCCAGGCAGTCCCGGGGCTCGGACACCTCACCCCTGACCCGGCGGAAATCCTACGACCGTGGGCAGCCTGCCAGGTGAGCTTGGGAGAAACACTGACACGGCCAGGGGGGCTCTGTGGCCCAGGATTCTTTCTGGGCCCAGTCAGGTGCCAGGTGAGCAGTTCCAAGTCATGTGTCCCTCTGATCCTTTGGCTCAGGCCTGCAGACATTGGCTTCACACCGCCCTCCTCCCCACCCACCCGTCCGCGCAACGACCGAAACGTCTTCTCCCGTCTCACGAGCACCCAGAGCCAGGGATCTGCCTTGGACAAGTGAGTCCTGCTGGGGTGAGAGTGTCTGAGCGAGGGGAGCCCAGACCAGGATAGCACATGGCCTGTACTGAGTCCTGTGGGGGTGTATAGCATCACCAGGGCTTGGATTGGCTCCAGCCAGTGTCCTGTCACCTCTTCACCTCCCTGCTTCTCCCTGTGGTGGAGCAGCTGCCATGGCAGGGCTGTGCTCCTGCCCACTGTGCCCCTCTGAGCTCACAGTGCTGGCCTCTGCCTGCAGACAGGGTGGTGCCAGACTTGGAGGCCCGGAAAGACGAGGGAGCAGGATGGGTGAGGGGATGAGGGCTCAGAGGAAGCTGATGGACTGGCATCCAGCCACAAGTGCTGCTCCAGCCTCTCCTGGCAGCAGGTCAGGTGCTGCTCTGGGCTTGCTAGCAGTGCTGGTGTTCCCTGATGGAGACCTGCTGTCTGTTCCTCACATGCCCTCCTGCTCTTCTGCTCTCCCCTGGTTCTCCATGTGTGCTTCTCCTTCTCCCTCCCTCCACTCCTTCTCTCTGTCCTACACTGGCTTGGATGCAATAACAATCTTCCACCTCTGACTCCACTGCTGCCTTCTCTAGTCTGGGTTTTCTCTCCCATAATCCTGCTAATTTTCTGCCCCTAGGTCTGATGACAGCGATTCCTCTGTCTCGGAGGTGCTGAGGTATAGACAATTCTATTTATTATCCCTTCCTCTGCTCCTCCTTCTCTCTGTCAGATGCCTGCTCTCCCTGTCCCTGCATGCTCTGCCTGCAGCTTGCTGCTCTCCCCCCTCCCAGCTTGTGTGTCTGTCCCCCTGGCATGCCACCTCTGGTGCCTGATGCTGTCAGTTCAAGCTGTTCCTGCTTGGATCAGCCCTTGGTACGTGGTGCTGGGCTCACTGGTGGGTGCTGGCTGGTTTGGGTTGGCAGCATGTTCTCCTCCAGCTCTCATGGGTTCATGCCAGCATGAGGCCACCACGTCCCACCCCTTCCCCAGCTCTCCAGCAGGATGGTGAGATGATGGGAAGGGTGCTTGCAGTACATCCTTTGTGCAAGCTTCCTCCAGGCAGTTACCTCAGGTTCAGCTCGTGCCTGGTTGTGCTGCCCTGGTGCTGAGTTGGCAAAGGTCAGTCTCTTCCCTAAAGAAATGGAGGGAGATTGTGGTGCAGAGCTCAGCCTTGGAGTTAAGGTTCTCCTGGGCTTCTCTCCCTGCATCCACCTCACTACAGAGGTTTCCCAGAACACGGGCCACATTTCCCCCATCCTTTAGGAACATTGCAGCCTTCCAGTGCCTAAAGGGGCTTGTAACAAAGAGGGAGAGCAACTTTTTACATGGGCAAATAGTGACAGGACAAGGGGGAACAGTTCAAAACTGAAAGAGGAGAGATTTGGACTAGATTTTAGGAAGGAATTCTTCTCTGTGAGGATGGTGAGACCCTGGCACAGGCTGCCCAGAGCAGCTGTGGCTGCCCCATCCCTGGAAGTGTCCAAGGCCAGGTTGGATGGGGCTTGGAGCAACCTGGGATAGTGGAAGATGTCCCTGCTCATGGCATGGACATGGAATGAGATGGTGTCTAAAGTTCCTCCCAGCCCAAACCATTCCATGATTCCATGATCAGCTGTCCAGCTCCCAACCCAAACCATTCCATGATTCCATGATCAGCTGTCCAGCACCCAGGGGTCCCCTCCCTCTGCCTGTGCCCTGAGCTCCTGCAGACCCCCTGTCACTGGGGAGGTGACACCAGACCAGTCTGAGAGGGTCACCCTGGGCAGTTCGTAGTCAGGCAGCCACTCAAAGTCCATGGAAGATGCAGTGCAGGGATTTCCCCTTTGATTCAGTGTTGCTTTGAGGCTGGTGGAAGCTCTGGGGGTGAGGGGAAGGCTGTTGGCTTGGCTTTGGTAAGGGCAGAGCTGAGGAACATCACATGCATGTGATTTCCAAACCCAATTAATGAGCCTGTGCTTGTCCTCACAACTAATTCAAACCTTGCCCTGCTCCAGCCCCATGCTTCAGTTTCCCTGCCTGTAAGAAGAAACAAGCACAACTTTGGGTGTTGTGGCTGTGCTTGATGACCAGGTCACACCCCTGCCAGGGGTCACACACAGCAGGGTCAGGCTGGCGGTGCTCAGCACCCTGAGCATGTCTGAAGTGGAGGGTTTGGCAGATGATGTCCCCCAGGACAGAGCAGTGTCCCTTGGCAGGGGTAGGTGCTCTCCTGCCCAGGGCCAGCAGTGGGGGCAGGAACAGCCATTGCAGCAGGGACAGGGGGGCAGATGCTGGTGCTGCCCTTGGTCACTCTTGGGATCTGTGTGAAGGAGCAAGGCCCTGTCTGCAAATGCCACCAGCCAGAGGTGACAGCTCCAGGGGATGGGGATGCTGACACTGGAACTCTGAAACATTACCCCAGCAGAGCTTCAGCTTCAGGCTGGAGAGTCCACAAATGGACCTCAGGGCCAAGGAGCTGAGTCTCCTGAACTGTCCTGGGTTTGTGCTGGTGAGGCAGGAGAGGTTTGGGGGGAGAGCAGAGGTCACTGGGCAGCCTCCCCCTTTCCCTGTGTGATGGCAGGGGGTGCCTATGGGGACATTCTGGGGTTTCCACAGAGACCTCAGCTCAGACAGGCCACCTTCAGGTGGAGCAGCCTGTCTCACTCTGGGCTTGGTGTGAGCCAGCTCATGTTCTTCCATGCCCTGGGGCTGTGGGCACTGTACCTGTTCTCTCTCTCCTGTGAAGGGGCATCATCAACCCGGTGGGTGGCACCAAGAATGCCCGGACAGCCCCTCTGCAGTGTGTCTCAGTGGCAGAGGGACACACCAAGCCTGTGCTCTGCCTGGATGCCACCGATGAGCTGCTCTTCACGGGCTCCAAAGGTGGGTGATGGGCAGGGAGGATGCAGATGCTGTGGGAGCAGGGGAAGTGTTGGCATTACAGGGGTGGTCCCTGTCTTCAGTGTTGAGCCCTGCCCCTGTGCTGGGGCTGGCTGGCTCCTTTCCTCTGGCTCTGTGGGTGGGGGGACATGCTCAGAGGGAATATTGTCCCCAGCCACCATGCCCTTGGAGGAGACACCCCCAACACTCCTGGGCGTGTTCTTCCTCCCCCAGACCGCAGCTGCAAGATGTGGAACCTGGTGACAGGCCAGGAAATCGCCTCTCTCAAGGGCCACCCCAACAATGTGGTTTCCATCAAGTACTGCAGCCACACGGGGCTGGTGTTCACCGTGTCCACCTCGTACATCAAGGTGTGGGACATCCGCGACTCCGCCCGCTGCGTCCGCACCCTCACGTACGTCAGCTCGGGGACCTGGGCACTCTGGGCTTCTGTGGCTCTGCAGGAGCCTTTACAGAACCTGCAGGGGCTGGGGACGTGGCCAGATACAGCTCCTTAGTGCCAGTTTGGAGGGCTGCTTCCTGAGGGAACAGGGAGGTTGGGAGAGGTTGGGGTTGGAATTCATGGGGACTCATGCAGCAAAGACTCAGGGTCATAAAATCACAGAATGTGCTGAGTTGGAAGGGACCCATCAGGATCATCAAGTCCACCTTCCTGGCCTTGTGCAGGACACACCAACAATCCTGCCCTGTGCCTGGGAGCGTTGTCCAAACACTTCTTGGACTCGGACAGGCTCAGAGCTGTGCCCATTTCCTGGGGAGCCTGTTCAGCGCCCCAGCACCCTCTGAGGGAAGAACCTTTTCCTGACATCCAACCTAAACATCTCCCAGCTCAGCTCCAGCCATTCCTGCCAGTCCTGTCACTTGTCATGAGAGGGAAGAGATCAGTCCCTGTCCCTCTGCTGCCCCTCAGGAGGATGTTGAAGACCCCAGTGAGGTCTCCCCTCAGTCTCCTCTAGGCTGAACAAACCAAGTGACCCCAGCTGCTCCTCATGAGGATTCCCCTCCAGACCCTTCACCATTCTCATGGCCTTCTTTAGGATGCTCTCCAATGGCTTTATGCCTTTTTTATATTGTGGTGCTCAAAACTGCCCTGAGGGCTTGAGGTGAGGCTACCCCAGTGCAGGGGCAGGACAATCCCCTCTGCCCAGCTGGCAGTGCTGTGCCATGGACATCCCAGGACATGGATGTCCCTCCTGGCTGCCAGGGCACTGCTGACTCATGTGCATTGACCAGGATGCCCAGGTCCCTTCCCACAGCTGCTCTCCAGCCTCTGTTCCCTGCTGTGTACACACAGCCAGGGTTGCTGTGTCCCAGGTGCAGAATCCAGCACTTGTTAAGGGTCAGGAGCTTTGAAGAGATTTTGCAGCTGTTCTGAGAACTGGCAGCTCCCATGGGGGGCACAGCCCCAAACAGCAGTGTCTGGGTAAATCACAGCCTCTTCAGTGGGAAACATGGGGCTCTGTGAGGAGTTTGAGGACCAGAAGGGAGCATGGAACAAATGGTAGCTGTGGCTGCCAGTCTGGAGTAGGGCTCAAAGGTTAGGACAGGATGGTAGGTAGTAACAGCAGCCTCCTCAAGCCAGGTCTCATAAGCTCTTGGAGGTCTATTACTCACCCAAGATAGCAGTGTTAGAAACAAAAAGGTTTAATAAAAGGCAAAATAACAGAGAGAAACCAAGCCAAGTGCAAGAGGTTCTTGCTCCTGGTAAAACACCCCACTAAAGCAATTTGTTTCTTTGTTCTCTTCTTTTTCTAGTAAATTGCCCAGGTGGGACTCTTTGGCTTCTGTCCAATTGGCTATCATTAAGTTTGAGGTGAAGTCACCTAGACCTGTGAGGTGGCTTTTTCACCTAGTTGAGGAGTTCTGGGCTTCTTTCCTTTTTGGGAAAGGACAGTTTTGTCACTCTGTCAGCACAGGGTACATTCCTATAGTAGGTCAGAGTTTCCCACTTGCTGTGGCACAGGTCTCCTTTCCCCATGCAGCCTCAGCTCACCTGCCTTGGCTTCTCTCTTGGCACAGAGGCCAAGGCCTCTGCTGCCCTGTGCTGGATGCCAGCACTCCCCAGCTCTCCTGTGGAGGAGAGCAGAGGAAACTCAGCTGGAAACCAGGGCAGGATGCTCTGAGTCATGCCCAGACCCTGATCCTTGGCTGCCTTTGCAGGCTGGGCACTGGCCTGTGGGACAAAGCTCCTGTTGGTCCCATTGTGGCCAGAGGGACAGGGACACTCCAGGGCCTTTCCTCAGTGTGGGACCCAGCTGTGCCAGCCTGGGGACAGCCCTGTGGTTCCTCACTGCCTCTGGTCTCATCCTTCCTGATGCCTCAGGTTTTGGCTTTTCTGTTTTTCAGATTCTGTGCTGCTTTAGTGTGTGGGTCTGGGCTTCATATTATGGGATGCTGAGCTCTCTGCACAGAGTAGGGAAACAAAACAATTCCTGCTCCAGCTGAGCACCAAGGACAAATGATCCAAATCTCAGGCCCAAGAGCACAAACAATGTGGAATGAAGAGAGAAAAGCAAGAAGGATGGGACTTGATAGGCTAAAGCTGGAATGGGACAATTAACTCCAATATGCAAATGGACCAGAACTTATAAAAGTGAGAGACCCCATGACCTGTCATCCCTTTTGGGACCATTTGGGCTCACCTGGGCTGTAGCCCTGGCTGGTGTTGGAATACAAGCCCCTCAGGGCACAGGCCTGGAGGGAAATCCAAGCACAAGGATTGAACTGAAAGCCCTGGAGAAACTGAGATATATAAAGCTACAAAGTGAAATAGAAATTCAGATTTAGAATATAGATTTTAGCTTTTAGTAGAAACTTATCCTAAGTGCTTTGAGTATTTAAAAAGCTGCAATAAAGAACAAAAGCTTTTTTGTCTTCAGGCACAATTCTACCATAGTAGTGGCATTTCTATGAGGTTGCTTTGCCCCAGACAAAGTGTAAATTGCTGGGCTCTTGTGCTGCCCAAGGTGGATCCGTTGAGGCCTCCTAATTAATCCCTGCTTTATTCTTTAGCTCTGTCTAGTCTCTGTTCTAGGCTCTGTTCAGCCTTGACAAGGCATCACCTGTGGTAATCACATATCCTCTGAACAGAGACAGAGACATAGCTCTCCCAGGATTTTCCAGGGAAGCTGTGAGAAAGCTCAGAGAACAGAATGAGAAACAAGGCTTATCTCCAGTTGCTGCACCTGTGTTGTTGTGCACATGTGGAATGTGTTATGGAGATTTCTTTACCAAAGGGCCACTGGTGATGGTGTTTTAGATTCAAGGACCAATTAGGTCAAAGCTGTATCAGACTGTCTGCAAGGGCGATGGGGGGGTCTGATGGCTCAACCTGGACACCACAACCTTCTCAGAGAGAGATCCTGCAAGAGACAGCTTTCTAGGGGTCTCAGGTAGTCCCTCAGCAAGGGGCAGCCAGCTCAGCTCTTAGCAGGGATTTCAGCTCTCAGTGATTTCAGTTCTGCCTTGCGAGGTGTATCCAGGCCAACACAGGGACAAAGAGACAGGAGCACCATGTGGTTGTTCCACAGAGTTCCTGTATTCCAGCACCCTGCAAAGGAGGCCAGGGACAGCAGCTCCCTCCTGAAGTGGGCAGAAACTGGGGTTTTATGGTACAAAGGGGGAAAACCAATCAGTCCCAACAAATCTACATGGGGTTCCAAAGTGTGCTGGGAACTCACCATGACCAAGGAGGATTTCTCAGTCCAGGAGAGTTTGAGAAAATCTTATCACAGCCCATTCAAGGGATACCTCTCCAAGGGAGAGGGCTGGCATGCCCATCTGTCTCCACAGATGGGTTTTTTCTTAATAGGATAATATAATATTATAGGATAATATAGTATTACAGTATAAAATAGTATTATAATATAATATAGTGGTATAGAAATATCAGGGTGGCTCTGTCACAGGAATGATTGACATCTGACTCCAAGGCTTTGGAATGCTGAACACTCTCTTTATTATACTGTATTATATTATACCTATAGTACAAAAAATGCTAAAGAATACTAAAGAAAACTTGTGACTGTCTCTCAACAGTCAGGCAACAGATTTGTGTGATTGATTGGCCAAGGAAACAAAACAATCATGAGCAAAATCCAGTTACCAAATTCCTTCAGGTAAACAATATCCTAACACATTTCACATGTGCAAAACAACAGTAGCAGAGAATAGAGATAAGAATTGTTTTTCTCTTCTCTGAGGCTTCTCTCTCTGCCTTTCCCAGAAAATCCTTGGGAAAAATTGTACCTTGCTTTTCTCTGTGAAGAGAAATGCAGCCACATAGTATAGGATAGTAGAATAAAGGTATAGGCTGGGGATGGTGTGGCTGGACAGTGCCCAGGCAGAAAGGGACCTGGGGGTGCTGGTGACAGCTGGCTGGACATGAGCCAGCAGAGTGCCCTGGTGGCCCAGAAGGCCAATGGCTCCTGGCCTGGATCAGGAATGGTGTGGGCAGCAGGAGCAGGGAGGTCATTCTGCCCCTTTACTCAGCACTGGTGAGGGCACACCTGGGGTGCTGTGTCCAGTGCTGGCCTCTCAGTTTGGGAAGGATGTTGAGATGCTTGAGCACATCCAGAGGAGACAACGAGGCTGGAGAGGAGCTGGGAACACAAACCCTGTGAGGAACCACTGAGGGAGCTGGGGGTGCTCAGCTTGGAGGAAGGAGACTCAGGGGTGCCCTTATCACTCTTTACAGCTCCTGAAAGGTGCCTGTGCTCAGCTGGGGCTGGGCTCTGTCTCCAGGCAGCACTGACAGAGTGCTGCAGCCTCAAGCTGCACCAAGGGAAATACAGGTTGGATATCAGGAAAAGTTTTTCATGGATAGAGTGATAAAGTTCTGGAATGGCTGCCTGGGGAGGTGGTGGAGTCACCATCCCTGGGTGTGTTTAACACAGCCTGGATGTGGCACTGGGTGCCAGGGTTGAGTTGAGGTGTCAGGGAACAGGTTGGACTTGATGATCTTGAAGGTCTCTTCCAACCCTGTGATTCTGCGATTGATCAGCCTCCTGTAATCATGGAGTCAATGCTAATTACTCTGAACTCTCCCCCTTCAGGTCGTCTGGCCAGGTGATCTCTGGGGACGCGTGTGCCGGGACCAGCAGCCGCACAGTCACCAGCGTGCAGGGCGAGCACCAGATCAACCAGATCGCGCTCAACCCCGCGGGCACCGCGCTCTACGCGGCCGCCGGCAACGCCGTGCGCGTCTGGGAGCTCAGCAGGTCAGGCCTGGGGGCTCAGCAGGGCTGGGGGCTCAGCAGGGCAGGGCTGGGGGCTCAGCAGGGCAGGGCTGGGGGCTCAGCAGGGCTGGGCTGGGGGTTCAGCAGGGCTGGGCAGGGCTGGGGGCTCAGCAGGGCTGGGCTGGGGCTGAGCAGGGCTGGGGCTCAGCAGGGCAGGGCTGGGGCTGAGCAGGGCTGGGCTGGGGCTCAGCAGGGCTGGGGCTCAGCAGGGTAGGGCTGGGGGCTCAGCAGGGCTGGGCTGGGGCTGAGCAGGGCTGGGCTGGGGCTCAGCAGGGCTGGGGGCTCAGCAGGGCTGGGCTGGGCTGGGGGCTCAGCAGGGCTGGGCTGGGGCTGAGCAGGGCTGGGGCTCAGCAGGGTAGGGCTGGGGGCTGAGCTGGGCTGGGGCTGAGCTGGGGGCTCAGCATGGCTGGGCTGGGGGCTCAGCATGGCTGGGCTGGGCTGGGGCAGAGCTGGGCAAGGCTTGGGCAGGGCTGGGAGCTCAGCAGGGCAGGGGCTCAGAGTGGCATGAAATGATGCCCCTGGGGAAAATGAAATGATCCCGCTGGGCAAAACAAAATGATCCCCTTGGGCAAAATGAAATGATCCCCATGGGCACAATGAATCGATGCCCTGAGGAAAATTAAATGATCCCCCTGGCCAAAATGAATTCATCCCCCTGGGCAAAATGAAAGCCTTTTTCACAGCAGGAGTTGCCTTGAATAAGGTTTTTCAGGATGCTTTCCTATGGGATCCTAGTGGTTTTAATTTTAAAAAATGTTCAAGATTTTTTAAGATTTAAGTTTAAAATTTTCTTAAATCTTAAATTTAAGATTTTTAAATATAACTTTTAAGATTTTAAATCTTTAAAACGTTAAGATTTTTTAAAATCATAAATCTTAATTTAAGAATTAAACATTAAGATTTTTTTTAAGATTTAAGATTTAAATTTAGGATTTTTAAATTTAAGATTTTAAATTTTTAAAAAATTTAAGATTTTTTAAGATCTTAAATCTTAACTTAAGAATTAAAGATTAGTTTAAGATTTGTTAAGATTTAAGATTTAAATTTAAGATCTTAAATATAAGATTTAATTTTGTTTAATTTAAGATTTTACTTTTTTTTTAAATTAAGCTTTTTTAAGATCATAAATCATAGTTTAAGAATTAAAGATTAATTTAGGATTTAAGATTTTCTTAAATTTAAGATTTTAAATTTTTCTTAAATTTAACATTTAAGATTTTAAGTCTTTAAAAATTTAAGATTTTTTAAGATCATAAGTCTTAATTTAAGAATTAAAGATTCATTTATGATTTAAATTTATGGTCTTCTTAAATTTAAGATTTTTAAATTTTTCTTAATTTTAAGATTTATTTAAAATTTAATATTTTAAATTTTAAAAAAATTAAGATTTTTTACAATCATAAATCTTAGTTTAAGAATTAAAGATTAATTTAAGATTTAAAATTTAAATTTAAGATTTAAGATTTAAATTTAAGATTTTCTTAAATTTTAAATTTAAGATTTTTAAATTTAAAGTTTAGGCTTTTAAATTTTTTAAAAAATTAAGATTTTTTTTAAGATCATAAATCTTAATTTAAGATTAAAAGAAATATTTTAAAAATCTTCATATTTAAGATTTAAGATTTGTAAATTTAAGATTTATAGTTGTGACCCAAGGGGTGATGAGCAGCACTGGAGCTGTGTGGGGTGAGGGGTTTGTCTGTGCACTGGGCAGAGCTCAGCAGAACAGAAAAGACAAAAGTGGGATGAGCAGCAGGGCCCTGGTTTCCCCTTGTCCTTCTACCTGCCCAGGGCTGTGAACCCTGTGGGCTCTGCAGCCAGATGTTGGCACTCTCAGGATGCACAGCCAGATGTTGGCACACTCTCAGGGTACACAGCCAGATGTTGGCACTCTCAGGATGCGCAGCCAGATGTTGGCACACTCTCAGGGTACACAGCCAGATGTTGGCACTCTCAGGATGCACAGTCAGATGTTGGCACACTCTCAGGGTACACAGCCAGATGTTGGCACACTCTCAGGCTGTGCAGCTAGATGTTGGCACTCTCAGGATGCACAGCCAGATGTTGGCACTCTCAGGATGCACAGCCAGATGTTGGCACACTGTCAGCCTGCTCTCCTCCCTGGATCACGGGCAATGGGCTCTCCGTGCCCACTCTCCCCCAGAGGGAGCAGCCCCAGCTGGGGCACCCCAGGGAGGGCTGGGGGAGGCTGGGGTTGATGCTGGGTGTGAGTGGGGCTGGGGGTGAGTGAGGCTGGGGGTGAGTGGGGCTGGGGGTGAGTGGGGCTGGGTGTGAGTGGGGCTGGGGGTGAGTGGGGCTGGGGGTGAGTGAGGCTGGGTGTGAGTGGGGCTGGGGGTGATGCTGGGTGTGAGTGAGGCTGGGTGTGAGTGGGGCTGGGGGTGAGTGGGGCTGGGGGTGAGGCTGGGGGTGAGTGAGGCTGGGGGTGAGTGAGGCTGGGGGTGAGTGAGGCTGGGGGTGAGTGAGGCTGGGTGTGAGTGGGGCTGGGGGTGATGCTGGGTGTGGGAGGGCCCTCGGGATGAGCCCCAGCACGGGCAGGGGCTGAGCTGTGCCCTCGCTGCCCTCGCAGGCTGCAGCCCGTGGGGAAGCTCAGCGGCCACATCGGGCCCGTGATGTGCCTGACAGTGAGCCAGACACCCAGCAACCACGACCTGGTGGTCACAGGCTCCAAGGATCACTATGTCAAGGTACTCTGCTCCTTGGGGAGCAGCATCCCGAGTCCTGTAGCATCCCATCAACTCTCCCCCCTTGGTCAAGCCCCAAGCCCTCAGCCCTGAAACATTAACTACTTAACAGAGTCATCCCTCCCAAAGGGAGAACAGTCTCCCCCATGGACTTGGTGTCACAACTTCCTCTGGTTTCTCCATCCCTGTCACTGGCTTGGTACCCCTGGTACCACCCCCCTACCCCTGGTGGCCAGGCCCCTCTGCCCAGCCCTTAGCTCTGCCCCCCACCCCTTCCCCTTTATAAGCTGCCTGCTCCACGTGGTTCTTCCTCTTTCCCCGCGTTTGTCCCTCAGGAACTGAGTTACCCTGCTGGAATAAAACCTTGCAAAAGAGCCTTTCTTGCCTCTGTCACTGAGCCAGCTGTGCTGGGTGTTGAGTGGAGGTTTGACTGCATTGCCTGAATGTTAACTCAGCCTGCCTTTGGACAGGAGAGGCTTGCTGGGGACAAGAGATGGGCAGCAGCACCCACCACCTTAACACCCATGTTTTTAAAGTCATGTAGGGAAGCCTAGGTGTTGGGAACCCCTCACTCTTCTCTCCTCCTGAAAGCTGAGCCCAGATTCTGTTTTCACCTCTGCATGTGAGGTTTTCCCTTGTTTCCTCTTCCCAAATCTTGCCTTTTGCTTGGTCCACAATGCACCTTGAGAGAAGAAGTTGCATTTCTCTCATGCATCAGTCTCTCTGGTTGGGATGTTCATGTGAGGGCTGACCCAGATGAGCAGTTCACTGTTCTGCTCCATAATCCCTCCCTGATAAAGATGCCTTGTGCCTGCTCAGTCACAGCTCCAGCACAGCAGGAGCCTGTCCCTTCCTTTCGGGTTTTAGCAGGTTGAATTAGAGCTGTCCCCAGGGAAGGGAGGAAGGGTGGTGAGATGGTGAGACAGGATCCCCCTCAGCTGTCAGCTTGGCTCCAGAGGAGTGTGAAGGTTCACCATGAGTAAAATACAGCAGAGTGGGGCCGTCCCTGGTGGCAGACCTCCTCTGCTTGTGGCAGGACCCTCAGCCCCAAAAGCCTCCAGCAGCCAATGCCCAGTCCCATTCCCAGCATCACTCTGGGTGCCCTGAGCCTGGGACACAGAGGGTGGTGGCCAAACTGCCCAGGGGAGGGAGTCCCCAGTGCCATCTGTGGTTTGTTACCTGCTGCTCTTCCCCAGGTGTTTGAGATCACAGAGGGCATGGTGGGCAATATCAGCCCCACTCACAACTTCGAGCCCCCTCACTACGATGGCATCGAGTGCCTGGCCATCCAGGGAGATGTCCTCTTCAGTGGCTCCAGGGACAACGGCATAAAGAAGTGGGATCTGGAGCAGCAGGAACTTATCCAGGTCTGGAGGGGAGCACAGGGCATAGGGGGGTTGCTGCTGGGGCCTGGGGGTTTGTCCAGGAACCTGGTGCCAGTGGAGCTCACCAGGGAGGGCACTCCCAGTCCTGGGAGTGGGTCAGGGTGTGCTGTGCCCCCATAATTTGTCCAGCAAGGTGCCTGGGATTGCTGGCTCTCCTTCAGACAGGCTGAGGCATCAGTTGCAGTGTGGGGGCTTGTGTTCCACCCTGAATTCTGGGTTGTTGTCTCCTGCCCAAGGGAGAAACCAAGCCATGATTTTGAGCCCACACCCTTGGCTCCTACCTGGGCACCACCAGTTCTACCAGGTCCCAGTCAGTCCTGGGGTGTCAGTGAGGAGCTGAGCTCCCTGAGACAGTGACAGGATGGGTGCATGAGGCTGCCCCTGGTGCTGCAGGTGAGGTTGGTCATGGCTGTGCTCTGTGCCTCCAGCAAATCCCCAATGCCCACAAAGACTGGGTCTGTGCCCTGGCCTTCATCCCCGGGCGCCCCATGGTGCTGAGCGCCTGCCGAGGAGGCGTCATCAAGGTCTGGAACGTGGACACCTTCACCCCAGTGGGGGAGATCAAGGGCCATGACAGCCCCATCAACGCCATCTGCACCAACTCCAAGCACATCTTCACTGCCTCCAGGTGAGCCCCCAGCACTCTGCCCCCGTGGCCCCTGGGAAGGGGGAGACCCTGGGTTTGAGCTGTCCCCCCTGGGCCTGGGTGGGTGCTGGGTGAGCAGGGAGCGGGGAGGGAATCGCAGCTTTTTAGTCCCTCCTTCATCTCCTTCTGCCCACTGTAGCCTGCCCACGGCCAGGCCTGCCCACTGCAGTGCCAAGAGCTGTCCCTGGCCACCCCCTGCCCACGCTCTGGTGATGCCCTGGGTTACTCCCCACGCAGGGACCCCTCTCCCTCGGGGCTGGGCATTGTCTGCTGCTCTCGGGGAGCTCTTCAGCAGCAAGACTCTGATATCCTCTTTTCGACCCTGTCCCTTTTCTCCCTTCCTTTTTCTCTGTCTCTCTCTGCCTCTCCTTCTCCCCCCCTCCCATCTGTGCCACAGTGACTGCCGGGTAAAGTTATGGAATTACGTGCCTGGGCTCACCCCTTGCCTTCCACGACGCGTCCTTGCCATAAAGGGCCGTGCTACTAGTCTGCCTTGACCCTCCTGCTCTTTGACTCTCTTGCTCATATGCTCCTCTTCTGTCTCTCCTTCCCTTTTCTCTCCATCTCTCCCCTTTCTCTGTCCCTCTCACTGTTGCTTTTGCTCCTCTCTCTCTTTCCCTCCCCCCCCCCTTTTTTCTCTGGTCTGAGCTGCTTCTTCACGGTATGAAACTATTCTGAGTTTTTCCCCACTTGATAAGTCTTTGTTAGAATGGACTCACCCCCTCGGCCCAGTCATCCCCCTGCCTTGGTTTCACTTCTTTTTGGTTTTTTTTCCTCGCCAAGTGCCCACATCTACTTTGGCACCTCAGTGGGAAGCCATGGCCTGCCCGTGCCTTTGCATGGATAGTGGGTTGGGAGTCAGCAGCCCCCCCCAAATCAGCCCATGCCCCAGGGGCAAAGCAGCTCCCTGGCTTTCACTGCAGGAGCTCATTCAGGGCGGGTAGGAGTCCTGGTGTGGGGTCAGCCCTGGAGGTCACCCTTTCCCTTTGTCCCCAGCTGCTGCCAGTGGGGTGAGCTGGAGGCTGAGCCCCATTGGGTTTGCCTTCTCCCCAAAGTGCATCAGACAATTCCTGCCAAGGGAAAAGGGCCTGGAAGCTTGGGGGGCTGCATGCTGCCGTGGTGGGGAGGGGAGTGAGCACCCTCTGGGGCAGTGCTGTGGGGCTCCTGCCCCCAACCCCTGGGTCATGCTGTCCCTCTCACCTTTGTTCCTCAGCGACTTGACAGTGAAGCTCTGGAGTGGGAGGAGGTTGCCTGCGGGGTCAAACTAGGAACTGCAGAAAGACTGGAAGGCGTGGGCAGGGTGAAGGGCAGGGCACCTCCCCCTGCTCTCAGGACCCAGCCACCCCCAGGAGCTCAGCCCAGCACAGGGATTTCTTTGTGCCTGACCCAACGGGGTGGACAATGCTGCATCTGGTACTCTGAGCACTGTCAGCTCCTGTGAGGAAGCAGCTCTGTGGGGCACCAGCAGCTCCACCTGCCCTCCTGCTGAGGTTTCTGATGGTTCTCCAGTGAACAGGAAATGTTTCATCTCTCCTCTCGCCCATCCTGCTGAAAGGACTTTGGGGGTCCCTGACTCCTCAGAGACACCCAGCTCCCTCCTGCCATGGCTCTGCCGTGCTGTGCTGCTCCTGGGCTGGTTCCTGCAGGAGTCTTCTCCACTCCACGAGGACATTTGGTGTCTGCTGGCCAGGACCACCACACAGAGGATGCTTCTCTGGAGCCATTACTTGTGAGACACCTCTGCTGTGGGGACTGCAGAAGGATTTCCTGGTACTGCCAGCCTTCCCTTTCCTGTGTGGACGTGTCCCCAGTGGCTGGAGGGTGCACTCTGAGCTTCTTTGCCATGTCCCATCTCGTGAGGCACAGCAAGGCTGGGATGTTTCCATTGGGCAGCTTCCAGACAGATCTGCTGCAGTTCCTTTGACACTCTTCAAACCCCACTTGTAAACTCAACTGCCCCCTGGCTCTGGGCTCTTCCCCACATGCCCAGCCTGCTCAGCCCTGCTCTGGATATTGTGACCCCATCAGAGCTTTGTACTGGGTTCCTGCAGCCAGTTAACCCCCTTGAGATGGAGAAATGAAGCAAGAATGGAGGTTACAGGGCAAAAAGGCCAAGGCTGGATTTGGCACCCCACTGCTGTGGCTCTGTCTGTCCTTCCCTTGGGTTCTGCCCTCAGACCTCTGCCTGGACTGGAGCTTGCTCAGGCTGGGCCTGCATGGATGCAAGGCTGGAGAGGAGCCAGCAGGGCAGGGAGCAGCCAGGGTCACTGTGGCAGGAGCAGAGGGGGAGAGGAGGGTTGCACACTCTGACCTTGCACAAATCCCTGACTCTCCCTGTGCTCAAAGGACAATCCTGCCGTGAATGATCTTGCACAATCTCATCTCCTGGAGGGTCTGGGGGCTCCACCCAGGAGTGTTTCCCCAAGGACACACAGTCTGCAGGCTCTTTCCTCTGTCTCTCCTGTTCAAGAGGGGCTGGTAAGGCCCTGGTCTCACACTGGAGCTTCTCTCCATCTCTCCTATGGCCCACTGGACCAGCCCCTGCTCTGTCCTGCCCTGGGCTACCCAAGGTTCTTGTGGAATGGCCAAGGAGACCCCAGGATGGGTCTTCCTGCCTCACACACTCTCCTTTCCTCTTTGTCACAGAAGAAGCAGCACTTGAACTCAAATTTAAGGATTTCTCCATGTGATCCCACCAGCACTGAACTGGGATCTTGGAGGCCAGGGGCTCCAGGACTTGCCCCATCAAGCACAGACCATTTCCCCTCTGCTCTCTCCAACCATGCTGATACCTTGACCTGCCCCAGCTCATCTGCCACCAGCCCTTGTTCCAGGCATTCTGGCTGGAGTGAGGGGATTCCTCTGCATCTCTGCACCATGAAAGACAGGAGTATCTCTATTGATTTGGTGGGGGAAGGGGAGGGTTGCCTTTTTTTGGGAAAATTCCATCCTGCTGGCTTGCCTTGTTGGAGGGTAAATGGTACATGTGTGTGTGTGTGTGTGTGTGTGTGAGTGACCCTGCCAGGACAGTCCCTGCTCCCTGGGAATGTGGCTGAGCCCTGCACAGCCAGGACTGGTGGCTGTGCTGGGGAGAGGCTCCCATCCATCCTGTGGGACCTGTGGAACTGAGGGTGCAGCCAAAAGTGCACAGAGACCTCAGCACCCAGTGGCACACAGCCATGGGGGTCTGCAGGAGCTGTCTCCCCCCCAGGCCTGTCTTGGAGAGGTTTCTGCACTCATTCCTCAGCTGGTTTGTGCTTTGCTTGGCTGGAGGGGCTCTGTGTGTGTGTGGGGAGGTGTCTCTGGGAAGTGTTTGCTGTAGCCTGGTGTTGGTTCTGTCTGCTCTGAGATCTCCAGTGCCTGCCCTGAGCCTTCCCTGCTGCCATGGCTGAAGGGGGCACCCAGGGTCAGCCCTGCCTTGCCTTTGCCCCCAGCACCTCCCTGTGTGCAGGCTGAAAGGGCCTGTTCAGTACTCCAGGGCTGAGTGGCCAGTCCTGGATGATGCTGAGCCTCTCTTGCTGCTGTGTCCAGGCTCTCACAGCCCACAGAGGGAGGGTGCTGGTGCTGGGGCATTGCTGTCCTGAGGCAGGGGGTTTGAAGGGAGGAGAGTCCTGATTTAGGAATAGCATTCTCCCCTTTAGTGCTCCCACTAAAACCCCCATCCCATCCCCAGCAGGGAGAGAGGGGAATTGGAGGCACAAAAGATGAAGAGCACAGGTTGAGATAAGAGTAATTTACTGGCAACAGCAGTGAGATAAAAAAAACAATCAGGAAAACAGCAGCAATGTTAATAACAGAAGTATAGAAAAGAGAGAATGATTCACATGCAGAGTGCTCACCCTGACCTGACCACAGCCATGTTCTACTGACCAGAGAAGACCTCTCCTCTGAGGAGAATGCCTGGATCCTGCCCCTGTGTGTGTCCATGGCACCAGTACATTGTGACCAAGCCTTACAGTGCTGGGATCTGCTGGGCCAGCCTTGGATCCACCCAGCCCAGCAGAGCCCAGTGCTGCTCTCCCCCCCTGGCTGCAGCCAGGGCCCCTCTGGGTGCTCACTGCTCACTCCTGCAGCTGGGAAGGTGCATCCAGGGGCATCAGAACTGACATTAGCCCTTTGATTCTGCCTGAAGCTGGGCTGGCATTTACCCCTGAAGAAGTTCCTGCAGTTGTTGTTTTTCCTCTCAGCTCACACACCCGTGCTTCTGGCACAGAGGGGTTTTCCTTCCCACTTCCTCCTGTCCTCTCTGTGCTCATGCAGGTAAAACCATGGGTTGCCTTGTGGTGTGTCCCCTCTCTCTAGAGGGGGCCAGTTGCTCCCAGCAGCAGAGGCTCTGGTCTGTACTGGTGTGACATGGGACATTTCCTCAGTCCACAGCCCTGGACTGGAGGATAAGTCCAGTCCTAAACTGGACCTGGGCTGGTCCAGTTTAGACAGTTTTTTTTAACACAGCTGAGATACAGGTTGGTAGGAAGAAAAAACAATGATGATCATCATCAGAGTTGGGGAGTCACCTTTACCACTCTCCTTCTGTTCAGATCTCTGAATAACCTCCCCAGAAATCTCTTTCTTGACTCCAAAGATTATGTGGACTGCACTAAGGACACCTGGCAAAAATATGATTTACTTAAAATCCCAAGGGAATTCAGAGCTTCAGAAGCTGTTTTAACAGACCTCAAGGGAGAAAAGTGGGTGAAAGTCTGGGGAAAATCATCCTCCCCTGTTCCCCCATGGGTTGGTCATGATTGTTATTAATGGAGTCCCAAATGAAGTGCTCCAGGTAGGGGTGGAAGAGCAACACTCAAAACATCCCAAATGACCCTCACTGCCCTTGATGTTGTCATGTCATAAACTAACAGAGCAATCCTGATCCCCCTCCCTGCTCTGAGACAGAGGCTGTGATGGGAGCAGACAGAAATATGTGCAGGGTTAGGTACCCCCATGGGCAAAGCAGGCAATGCTGTCACCAGTGCCTCAGTACTTCATACAGAAAATGCTGAGATCTAATTTGCTTCCAACCCACTCTGGGCAGATCTGTTGTTATTTCAACTGTTCAAGCCCTACTTTGGATGCCAAAAAAACCCCCCAAAAAAAACCAAACAAACAAAAAAAAGCTGTTGTGGTTTAGGACTGGTATTCCCCAATTTAGTGTTCCCACTACTACAACTGTGTGCTTCCACAACCCCCACCTCCTTCCCTCCCTGTGGTGGGATGAGGAGGAGAACTGGAGGCACAAAAGGTAAAAAAATCACAGGCAGAGATAGGAACAATTGACTGGAAACAGCAATGAGATAAGAAAAATGAACAGCAACAATATTAGTAACAAAAGTGCAACAATATTAATAACAAAAGTGTGCAAAAGAGAGCAAATCACGTGCAAATGCTCTCCACAGTGTTACCCTGATTGGAAGAGATCCCTTCCCCCTGCCCAGCAATGATGTGAGGTGGCCTAAAAGAACCTCTGGGCTCTGGCCATGTCCCCTCCTGGCTACTGCAAAATTTAACTCTGTCCTGGCTGGAACCAGGCCAGGGGTGACTGTGATCCCATAGCTCTGTGTGTGTGTGTGTATGTGTGTGTGTAGCTCTTAGTTCCTGTGTGGGTTGATGTTTCTCATGCAGAAGAGCATTTCTTGCTGTTGATCTGGTTTAGCTACCTCACGGTGCAAGCTGGGTGCTGTTCTCATTGGGTTTCCTAGTGGGGATGGGGTGGGGACTTTGTGGTGTAAGAATTTTTATTTTTTTTCTCTTAATAATTATTGTTATTGTTATGGTTTTGACACTTGAATTCATCCTGGGGACATGTGGCCTCTCTCCCACCTTGCTGCATGTCTGAGCCACCCACTGTGTTCCCTCCCTGCTCCTCCTGGGCAGGGAGCAGGGCTGGGGTCCCTGCCCCAGCTCCCACCTTTGCAGTGGGATCCCCCAGAGCCATTGCAACACTGAGACTTTGCTCCCATTCCTCGTGGGATTCTGAGGATCTGTGGTGTTTTATTGGTGATTGGGTTGGTTGGCAGCCTGGGTGTGGCTCCCATCTGGTCCCATGAAAAGGGGGCTCAGAAAGGCTCAGCTCAGCCCAAATTTCTCCCTCTGCTCTCCCAGATCCTGTCTGTGGATGTGATGAAGCTCTGGGCTGGGAGATGTCTGTGCAGAGCAGACCAGAGGTGGTTCCAGCCATGTCTGCCCAGAGCCTGCTGCTCTGAAAGGCTCAGCTCAGCCCAGATATTTCCCAGATTTCTCCCAGATCCTGTGTGTGGCTGTGAGGGAGCTCTGGGCTGGGAGGTGTCTGTGCAGAGCACATTGCTGGGTGGGCTGGTTCCAGCTCCCTGCAGAGCAGCAGGGCCTGGGGGCTGGGAAAGCCTCTGCCCAGGCTGGGCATGGTCTGTGAGAACCTGATTCTGCTGTGGGATGGATTTTTCCCTCCCAAAAACACAGTTGTATCTAGATAGAGTGCCAGGCACTGAACATAAGCAAGGGGAGCCCTGGAGCCCCCAGCTCAGGCTGGCAGCTGCCCTGGCACAGGGGTCAGGGGGCTCTGAGCCACTTTGGGGTGCAGGTCCTCCCAAACACTAAAGCACAAGGTGCCACATGCAGGTGGCTCTAGGAGGGGTGGCCCTTTGGTCCCTGGCCCTCCAGAGCTCCAGTGGGACCATGGACTGAGGCTGGAGGAGGAGGAGGACTGGGCTGAAGGCTCTTTGCCTGGGGGTGAGCTGTTCCATCCCATGCACTGTGCTGGCTGCACACCTGAAGTCCCCTCTGGTGGTCTCAGAGCCCCTCTGAGCCCCTCCAGGGCAGGGACACTTTGGAGCTGCCTTTGTACCACACACCTCACTTTCCTCTGCCCCTGGGCACCTCGATTTGTGACAAGGGTGTGCTCACACCTGCACTCCTGCCTCAAGTTGCTGGGTTATGCTTCTTTCCCCAGGGCCCAGCTCTGGCTCTGGGGGTCCCCTCACCCCCAGCACACAGCTCCAGCCTCTGTGGAGGGAGCAGGGCTGGACCAGAGTCAGGAGCCTAAAAGCACTGGACCCCCAAACCACTGTGAGCCCTCCTGAGCAGTGTCCCCTCCCTGTCACCTACAGCTCTGATGACACAGGCTGGGCTGGGAGCTCTGGGGTCCCATCCTGTCCCCCCAGGTCCCCTCCCCACCACCTCTGAGCACAACTGCCTTGGGGTCTCACTTGCTGCCTCCTGCCTTGGTGCTGCAAACCCAGTGCCTGCTTCCCATGGTGCTGTCCCAGTGCTTCTCCCCCTCACCAGTCCCACACCAGTCCTCCCAGTGCCCCACACTGGAGAAAGTCCAGGTACGATCCCTGCCAAGCACAGGGCTCCAGTTTGCTTTCCACAGGCTCCCTGGAGCTTCACTGTCTCCTGCAGGCTGCTCATCCTCCTGAGCCCCCTCACCCTTCTGGGAAGGGACGAGGACCCCCAGCCCCTGCAGGTGCTGCACAGTGCTCCAGCTGTAACTGGGACAGCCCCAGCTCCCGGAAAAGCACAGCCCTGCACCTTCCTCCTCCTCCCCAGGGCTCATCCCTTCACCCACCACAGCCCTGCACCTTCCTCCTCCTCCCCAGGGCTCATCCCCTCACCCACCACAGCCCTGCACCTTCCTCCTCCTCCTACCCAGGGCTCATCCCTTCACCCACCACAGCCCTGCACCTTCCTCCTCCTGCCCAGGGCTCATCCCTTCACCCACCACAGCCCTGCACCTTCCTCCTCCTGCCCAGGGCTCATCCCTTCACCCACCACAGCCCTGCACCTTCCTCCTCCTCCCCAGGGCTCATCCCTTCACCCACCACAGCCCTGCACCTTCCTCCTCCTGCCCAGGGCTCATCCCCTCAGCCACCACAGCTCTGCCCTGGTTCCTTCCAGCTGCTCCTCCTGGCCTGGCACCCCCAGGTGCTGCCCCACACAAGGCTGGGGCAGCTGCAGCACTGTGTCCCCTGCTCCATCACTCCTCTCTGCACAAGGAGCACAACAGCAGATGCCTTTTCACACTTTTGGGGCTTTTCCCAGAGGCCAGCTGCCCTGGAGGCTGGTGGTGTCTCTGTGGGGGCTGTGCAGCCCAGCCCTGGCTGGGTTTGTCAGAGCATGAGGGGTGTGTGTGTGTGTGTTTTCTACCTTGGTGTGTTCCTGTAAATAGTGTAAGTTATTGTGCTCTCCTGCTGTACGTTTTTCAATGGCTGTTTGTTTCTTGCCTTTTTGTCTTTGCAAATAAAATGTTCTTGACATGAAGGGATGGAGCACAGAGGTGGTTTTGAGGAGGGAAAGGGCACAGCCAGGAGCTTCCCATCCCCTCCTGTGCCCATGAGCCTGGCCCAGGCTGGGGGATAGATGGGGAGGGGGGGCTGTGGCTGCATCCCTTCTGGATGGAGTGGAAAGTGTCCCTCCCCATGACAGGGATTACATGTGGTGGCCCTCAAAGGTTCCTTCCACCCCAAACCATTCTGTGATTTATAATCCTCTTGGTTGGGAGAAGATTGGACAAGAGGAAACAGCCTCAAGTTGTTCCAGAGGAGGTTCAGGTTGGATATTGGGGGAAATTTCTGCATCAAAAGGGTGATCAGGCCTTGGCACAACTGCCCAGGGCAGTGGTGGAGTCACCATCCCTGGAAATGGTCAAAAAACCTGTGGATGTGGCACCTGGGGACACGGTTCCATGGTGAACACGGCAGAGCTGGGGGAGTGGTTGGACTCGCTGATCTTGGAGGGCTTTTCCAAAGGAACATTTCCAGGGTTCTCAGGTGACCCTGCCCCTGCAGGCAGCAGCTGCTCAGGCAGATGGGGCAGAACTGACCTTAGGGGGGGGCAGATTCAGGGGCTCAGGTGGTGGAAGGGGCTGAGGGGCTGCCCCTCTCCTGGTGAGGAGGAGGAGGAGGAGGAGGAGGGTGCCCACCAGTCAGTGCCAACTCCTGCAGGAGTCAGAGCATCCCTGAGCCTGCAGCATCACAGCAGTGGGGAAGGGAAGGGAAGGGAAGGGAAGGGAAGGGAAGGGAAGGGAAGGGAAGGGAAGGGAAGGGAAGGGAAGGGAAGGGAAGGGAAGGGAAGGGAAGGGAAGGGAAGGGAAGGGAAGGGAAGGGAAGGGAAGGGAAGGGAAGGGAAGGGAAGGGAAGGGAAGGGAAGGGAAGGGAAGGGAAGGGAAGGGAAGGCGGTGGCGCGGGGCCGCCAGCAGGGGTCAGCGCTGGCTGCGCCACCGCAGCGCCCGGAGCGCGGAGGGGACACGGGGATGGGGTGAGGGCTGCGGGGTCCTGCGGGGGCTCAGGGTGGTCTGTGCCACACAGCCCGGCCAGGCAGCCCCTGGGGCGATGCAGTGCCGTGTCCTGCGGGATGGGGAGGGGCCATGTTGGGGCAATGGAGGCTCCTGCAGGTGGGAGGTTTTGGGGGGCGATGCTGGGAGGGGGCAGGGCCCTGCCAGTGCGGGATGCTGCGGTGGGGGATGTGTGACACGGTGCCACCGTGTGGTGCCCGCTGAGCCCCCGAGGTGAGCGATGCCGGAGCCCATCGATGTCTCCAGGGTGGGGAGGGGACAGCGAGGTGTCCCTGCAGCCCTGGGGCCGGGCTCAGCTCCTGCTGCCCCCATCCCCCTTTGCCAGGCAGCGCTGTGGGACTGCTCAGAGCGAGCAGTTCTGGGGGCTGCCAGCCCCGGGCTGTGCCCGCTGCCCCCGTCCCTCCTCCCGCACCCCCTGCCCTGCCCCGCCACCCTGGGCCGCAGCCCGGCTTCAAACGTGCCCGCAGTGCCGGTTCTGAGCAATGCCAGCCCAGCTCCGAGGTGTCTCTGGGCAGTGCCCACGGATGTCCCAGCCCTCAGCACCATGCCCTGTGTCACCCTCAGCCTGTGACAGGGCTGGCACCTTGGCTGAGCCTCCGTGGTGCTGCCAGGGTGAGTGGCAGCCCTGGGTTACAAATGGGGGGTGTCATGGGCCCAACTCCCCCTGGCAGGGCAGGTGACATTGCTGCTGCTCCCACCCGGTGCCTCAGCCACTGGTGGCATCACAGACACTTTCTATTGCCAGTCTTCACGTCACCATGTCACACTCATGGCCACCTCTTTCTTGCTGTGCCATGCACCCCACGTGCCTGAAGGTGCCACTGGGCCAGCAGCAAGGGACAGCAGGGACACAGCCCTGGGAGCTGTGGCAATGAGATGCTGGCAGCCCCGTGCCACCCATCCTCAGGCCAAGGGAGGAATTGCTCTGAGCCCATCAGGGCTGGGGCTGCTTCTGGCTAGGGCAGGCTCCCATGGGCACCATTCTGCACCTTGCTGTGCCCCAGGGCTTTAGGGAGGCCATGGGGACACCTGAGGAGAGGTTTATGGCGTCCCAAGCTCTCAGCACAGTGTTTCAGCATCTCTGGGGAGGGTTGCCCATGGTGATCTCCCCAGGGCCCATCACAGGGCCCAGGCTGTGGCACCTCAGAGGACAAAGGGCAGGAAGGGCATTCCTACAGGCACCTGCAGGGGGTGGGGAGGAGAGCTCCTGCTCTGGCCTCCTGATTCCCAAAGGCCAGGGAAGGAAGGGGCAGGCTCAGGTGGACACAGAGGGCTCCCACGGAGGGTGTCACCTCTGGGAGTCCCTCTGCCATGGTGGCACTGCCTGGGCACATGGACTGGCTGTGGTGCCTCCCTGAGGTCAGTCTGCAGGGAAGGGACACCTGGCCAGGGGGTGCTCAGGGTGGTCTGTGCCACACAGCCCTGCCAGGCAGCTCCCAGATTGCCTGGAATGGGCAGAGCTGTGGGTGGGTGGGCTGTGCCCGGCTCGGGCAGGAGATTCCCAAATGCCACAGGGCCACCTCATCACCCCTTGGCTGGTGGCCCAGGGGATGGCGAAATTTTGGCAACATCCCACCGTGCTCCAGGGACACCTGCAGTGTAGTGGAGGGTGGAAAAACCTTCCCCAGGGGCAGCTTTCCAAGCACAGGCACTGGCAGCCCAGTGGGCAGCCAGCTCCTGGGCACAGAGCAGCCCTGGGCTCCATCCCTGGCTGGCTGCATGGCCAAGCTCTGGGTCTCTTTCCCTGGTGGCCCTGTGACAGTGACAGACAGGGCTGTTCCCTGCCATGGGGATGTCCCTGTGGGATGCTGTGCCCAGGGAAGGACCTGGCAGCAGCAGCTCTCGTGAGGGTGCTGAGGAGGAATGAACCTGGGGTGGGTGATCAGCTGGTGGGACCTGGTGCCTCCTGGCAGGCACCCTGGGATGTGACACAGGGGACAGGACATGAGCCACCCTGCCCTTGCTGGTCCCTGTGCCAGGCTGGAATATCCATGTTTACAACAGCCTGTCAGCACAGTGTCACAGGAGATGGTTTGCTGCCAGGTTTGGAGTGATAAGGACCCTGAAGTGACAAGGGGGTAGCTGTGTGATGCCAGGGCCTGCTCTGCTCCCAGGTGCCCAGGACTGCCTCAGTCTGGGCATGGTGTGGATGTGGCTGCATGGGCAAAGAACCAGAACCAGGCAAAGAACCAGAACCAGGCAAAGGGTGCCTCAGCTCTGGCTGGGACTGGCCTGGCACAGGGCTAAACCCAGCAGGAATAAACCTCAAAGGGCCCCAGGTACCCCTGCCCGAGGCCAGAGAGGCAAGAGCCATCAAAGGTACTTCCCCAAATGCAGCCCATGACCCTGCCTGTCCCTTGGCACATGTCCCTGGTGAGTGTGTGTGCCTGCCAGTGCCAGGCACGTGTGACATGGCAGGACAGGGGCTGTCACAGCTCTGCAGCCTCTCCCAGACCTCCCCCAGGCAAAAATCGACCCATTCTGACAGACAGAGCAGCAGTTCTCAGGCACCTCCCTGGTCTCTGCTGTACCCCCACAAAAACCACCTGTCCCCACCTGAGCCCTGCTCCCACCACGTGCCCCGTCCCCAGCGTTTGTCCTGCTTGGTCACTGAGACCTGTTCCTGCTCTGGGAAGCCTGTGCCACCCCAGGCTGTGCTCCAGGCACAGGCAGAGCACCCCCAGTGCACCTGCTGGCTGCCAGGGCTGGCTGCCCACCTGGCCAGGTGTGTGCCCAGGGTAGTCCTGGCTCCACTGCCCAGGCAAATCCCAGTAGGGACCCACAGGGCCCACCCTGACCCCACGGGTGGCTTTGGATGCCGGAGCTGAGTGAACCTGCTGCTGTGAGCAAACAAACACGAGCCTGGCAGCAGTTCTCAGGCACTTCCCTGGCCTCTGCTGTACCCCCACAAAAACCACCTGTCCCCACCTGAGCCCCGCTCCCAGCACGTGCCCCGTCCCCAACATTTGTCCTGCTTGGTCACTGAGACCTTCCTCCTGCTCTGGGAAGCCTGTGCCACCCCAGGCTGTGCTCCAGGCACAGGGCACCTGCTGGCTGCCAGGGCTGGCCGCCCACCTGGCCAGGTGTGTGCCCAGGGCAGAGTGAAGGACTGGCATTAGCTCCTGGCTCCACTGCCCAGGCAAACCCCGGGAGGGACCCACAGGGCCCACCCCGACCCCACGGGTGGTTTTGGCTGCCGGAGCTGAGTGAACCTGCTGCTGTGAGCAAACAAACACGAGCCTGGCAAGAAAGCAGCCCGTGAAGGCAGTGTGGGTGAAACTCTGGGCACCGCTGGGGCACGGGCTCTGACAATGATTAAACTGGCCAGCCCAGATTTCCCGGCAAGGCAGCGCAGGGCCGGGACCCGGTGGTTCATATTATGCAAATCACCTGGATCTGGGAGCATGAACGTTTGGGGCTGGAATTCCCCTCGGGCTGCCAGATTGTTACACCGCCCAAGCTATAAAAGCAGAGGCACGGGCAGGGCTTGCCCATCGGCACCAGCCTCCCGGGGCCCATGAGCAGAGCCTAGGGCCGGCCCGGCCTCCTCTCCTCTCCCCTGGCTCCTCTCCCCTGGCTCCTCTCTGGATTACCCACCGCTGCTGGAGTTGCCACCACAGAAGGTACCAAAGCTTTTTTGCCGGGCCTGTTGACGTCCCCCAGCCCAGGACAGCTGCTTTGCTCTCTCCTTTCACCTTGGTTCCCACCGGGGATGTGCTCTGGCCTTTTCTCCAGGCTCCATCTTGGCTGTCCCGCCTCAGCTGGGAGTGAGGGCCCTGAGGGGGCAGCGGGACAGCAGCCCCCAGAATGGACAGCACGATTTGGCTTTTTGTGAGGGCCAAGCAGGGCTCGGTGCCCTCCTGGCTGCCGTGATTGGGATGTGCTCGTTGTGACCGGTGCAGAGGACTGGAGCTGTGGCACAGCACTGGGCAGGGGGCAGCCGGCTGGGCCAGGGGGCTCAGGAGTG